GACCAGTGGGATGAGATGGTTGGGGGTGGGGGGGGGTGGTGGGAAGAGATAGGGTAAAAGAAAAAAGCAGAACAATGGGAAAAGAACCTAATACAATTGTAGAATTCTGTCTCAAGAGCTGTGGAAACTCACCAATATAGTATAAAAATGGGTGTTGGAAGTTTCTTTACAATAATAAAAAAGACGGAATAGATTTTAATGAGATAAACGGGTTATATAGCTCACATAGAACCTAAAACTTTAAATTTTATTGTAGTTGCTTTGTAAATATTATATAGGCGTGCCTTGCTTTGGAGCTATGGCAATGGTTAAACAGTAATGGTTAATGTCTAAAACCACAAAACAAGTTACTTGGGTGGTACATAATTATGGAAGGATTTTTTTTTTTCTACCCACAAGGAAAAAGAGCTTGCTAAAAATTACTTGATTCCACAGAGCACTATTTTCAGAGGTTTGAAGCAGGACCCTTCAAGGGTGCTGTCGCTCTGCTTGAATTCCTGGGCAGTGTAATGTTCGGAAAGGGAATTGCTCAGGAGTTGGGCAGGGCTCGCCTTGGAAGACCAGTCATAACGCAGCTGGCCTGGCCACGGATGAGCGTGTTAAGTATGCTGAGCCCAGCAGAGACTTTGGGCTCTACCGATTCCTGGTAAGGAGCCTGGTCAAGAGCAGGACCAGCAGAACACAAGCTCATCCAGGCTTGGTTCCCCAACTCCAGATCAACTCCACCTGGTGGAGACACCTTACACTTGGGTATCTGATCCCAAATTCCCACGCTGAATCGCAAATAGGCTTCTATGTGAGTGGCCTCACCAACGTTCAGTTGCCCAAGCCAGATTCTTGGATGCTGTCCTCAAATCGCCCCTCTCCCCACCCAAATCAACGATTCACCTGACCTCAACCATCTCCCCACTGGGTAGTTTATACAGAATGAAACTATGCATTAGTTATGACTGCCTCAGGACAAAATATGGACAAAAAGCTTCCTAGACCCTGCACCCCCCTCCTTCCTCTAGTAAGTAAGGCTAGTTGTTACCACCATCTCCTCTGTTTCCCTTTACAGCAAAATTTCTTGCAGACCCTATCTCCATTTGCTGTTTTCATGTCCTCACTGCCCATTCACACTTCAACCCACTCCAGTCTTTATCCTTAACCATTCTGCCACCCATCACACTATAAAGAAGCTTGGGACAGACTGCTAAGTGATGAGCAGTCACACAGATCCCAGAAGGTGAGGGGCCATCTTGGATGTTCTAGTCCCAGCTGAGCTCCCAGCTGAATGCAGCCCCAGGAATGACTGGTTATACTGTGTGAGGCAGAACTACCCCACTGAGCTCTGTCGACTCACAAAATCATGAAAACGGAGCCACTGTTTTTAGCCCCTAAGTCTTGGGGTGGTTTGTTGCACAGCAATGGATAAAACATTTCTCTACCCTCTTTTACTCAGTCTCTTGATGACACTCAACGTAGGTGATCATCCTTTCTTGAAATATTGAAATATTTGGCTTTCGTGATTCCCTAATTCTGGTTTTCCTCCTACCTCAGAGGCGGCTCTCTCTCAGCCTTCTCAGCTCTAGAGGGGCAGATCGTTGGACTTCTCTTCTCAGTTTACACTCCTACCTGGTGATCTAATCGGTCCTGTGGGTTTAGCCATCTATATGTTCACAGCTCTTGTTCTGACCTCATCTACAAATGCCAGACGCACAGATCCAAGTGCAGGCTGGGCATCTTCCGCGTGGATGTTTAGTAAGGAATCTTCTAAACTCTTCTATCTTAAAACCCTTCGTGACTTGTGTTTTAAAAGGGGTTTGTTAGGGGCGCCTCGGTGGCGCAGTCGGTTAAGCATCCGACTTCAGCCAGGTCACGATCTCGTGGTCCGTGGGTTCGAGCCCCGCGTCGGGCTCTGGGCTGATGGCTCAGAGCCTGGAGCCTGTTTCCGATTCTGTGTCTCCCTCTCTCTCTGCCCCTCCCCCGTTCATGCTCTGTCTCTCTCTGTCTGAAAAATAAACATTAAAAAAAATAAAAAAAAAAAATAAAAGGGGTTTGTTTTAATCAGTTAAGACGCACACACAGGGAAATGTCTGTTATGAAGGGAGATGTTTTTATATTCACAAGTCCCCTGAAACAGGAGGCGGGCACACCTTGCAGGGCCACGCAGGGACGCACCGCCAACACTGGCAAGGGGGCAGAGGGAGTGGGAAAAATGCGGGCAAGAGTCTTTATCGTGACTTCTGTGGGAAGGAATCAGGGTGGCATGTGTATGGCCTTCTAGATTCCTAGAAATATATTGGAGCTTTTCAAAGCCCCGGTGGACATCTCATCCTTCAGCTTTTCCTGTTAAGCTTTTGATTCGTTTATTGTTTGCCTCGACTGTTATCCATTGCCTCAGTCAGTGGTTATGTTAAAACATTGAACAAACACCGTTGAGGAGAAGCCATTAGGACTAGGCTAGTTACAGTGAGGACGAATGAATACAAGTGTTTTCAGGAAGGTCTTCCAGGGAACCAGTGGACAAGTCTAACAAGGACTTTTGGAAACAGCTCCAGCCCTGTTCTGCCCTCTCTGGTACCAGCAGTGTGGGCTGTTAGCTTTCAAGGCCGCCAAGGACTGAGGAGAAGACAGGACTAGGGGAAGTTGAAGTGCTACAAAGTTTGATGTTTTCAACTTAGATTCAGCTGTTGCTTTTTTTTTTTGTTTGTTTATTTAAGTAAAGTCTACACCCAGCCGTGGGGCTTAAATTCACGATCCCTGAGATCAAGCTTCGACGGGGAGGCCCTCAGCTGTTTTTCTCGACTAAATGCTAAATGAGTTGCTGCAAAACTTTATAATTTCCAGTAGGGATTTGGGCCATTTTGGCCAGTTTTTCACCTGGAAGGGCAAACTTTCTGAGGTCCTTACTCCACCATTTTCACTGCTGTCATCCTTCCTTTAAAAAAAAAAAAAAAACCGCAAAACAATATTAAAACCACAATTAAAAATTAGAATTAAAAAAATTTTTTTTCAACTTTTTTATTTATTTTTGGGACAGAGAGAGACAGAGCATGAACGGGGGAGGGGCAGAGAGAGAGGGAGACACAGAATCGGAAACAGGCTCCAGGCTCTGAGCCATCAGCCCAGAGCCCGACGTGGGGCTCGAACTCACGGACGGCGAGATCGTGACCTGGCTGAAGTCGGACGCTTAACCGACTGCGCCACCCAGGCGCCCCAAAAATTAGAATTTTAAATTAAGAATTAAACCTAAAAAATTGTCCACGATGTTTTAAAGTCCAAATTTATTTTATTATTTATTTATTATTATTTTTTTTAATATTTATTTTATTTTTGAGAGAGAGGAGAGATGAGCTAGGGGGAGGGGCAGAGAGGGGGACAGAGGGTCTGAAGCGGCCTCTGCGGTGACAGCAGAGAGCTCAGTGCGGGCTGGAATTCACTAGCGGAGATCATGCCCTGAGCCCAAGTCCAGCACCTCACCACTTACCCGGACTAAGCCACTAAATCCCAGGCGCCACTAAATCCACATTTAAAAGCCAAGCGATAACTGCCCCTCACCCCCTAATTCATTTGTGCGTGTTACTTTATACTCACCATCCACACACTTAACAGGTTTTTACCGTTTTGCGGTAATATGGAGAATTTTAACATCGTACCTAAGCTTCCTTCCCCTGCAATCTTCCCGCCCCTCATTTTTCTCCCACTTTCCTAGTGCCCCTTACTGCATACTCCCCGACGCCAGTGTTCATGAGCCAACTTTGGCACAGTGTGTGTCCTTCCTGAGCCTTCTCCTTGCTCTTTCAAAAACAGCCACATTGCCACACAAATAGGTTCTCTTTTCGCTATTGATTTAAACGGTTCTGTACCGCTTTTCCCCCTTAACACGTCACGGACGTCCTTCTAGGTCTGTAGAAATTTAACGCATGCTTGCTGAAGTCCTGTAACAGAGAGTCTGGACAAGGATCCCCTGCGTTGCTCCCAGCACCATACCTCCTCCCCGCCCCCCGCCAAACACTCTCACCAGAACTTACTGTTGCTTTTACTTTTTTTTTTTCTTAGGAGGGTTCATTTTATTTTTTGTTTTTATTTTAATATAGCTTACTGTCAAGTTAGCTAAGTGAAATAAATCAGAGAAACACCGATATCGTAGATTTTCATTCATATGTGGAATTTGTTCCTTTTAGTGCTAGAAGATTCTCAGAAGACAGACTGCTGGGTCAAAGGTCACGCATCTTCAAAACTTTACTAGGGGCTGAGGGACTACTTTGCCAAAGGGCGCCAACAGTTCACCTTTCCATCCGCCCCCCCCCTCCCCCGGGAGTGTGCCGGGACTCCGAGCGGTCTCTAAGCGCTCGGTCACTGCATTATCGAGCAGGGCTGAGGAGAAATGGCTTTGCTTTCGCACAAGACAGACGCTTCGGAGCTTAGAACGGCGGGATCGCCGCCCAGAACGGCGCGGATCGCGCCGGCTCCAAGAGAAAGTAGCGCCCGAGCCGCGCGGCGGGTCGGCGTGATCGCGGTCACGTGGTGTAGGATACGACCCGGCGCCGTCGGGAGCAGTCAGGCTGAGGGGCTCGGTCGCCAGGTGGGCGGCGTCCCCGTTTGCTCGGCCAACGCCCGAGCGGAGAGCTCCCGGGGCCGGCGGCCGCGCGATTTCCAAATGCTCGGGGCTTCGGCGAGCGGCTGCGCACGGCCCGGGCATCTCCGCCCCCGTCCACCAGGCGAAGGCGCTTCGAGAGCCGCGGGGCGCTGCCCCGAAGGACCAGGCTGCTTCTCTCTGGAGCGCCGGAGAGCCGCTTTCCGGGGCCCCCCGGCTGCCGACGGAGCGGGGGAGCGGGCCGCGGGGCCCGGCGGCCGCGCACAGCTGGGAGCCCTGAGGCCGGAAGGCGGCGAGCCCCCTCAGCTGCGGGCCGGTGGGCGTGGTGAGGCGGCACAGGTTCCGTTTTTCCGGGCCCCCGGGAGCTTTCGCTTTCGCTTTCGTTTCCAGCTGGCGTCTGAGCCCCGCGGGAGCCGCCCGCCCAGTCCGCGCCGGCCGCCGCCCGCGTCCCGCCAGCAGCTCTCCGACGGGCAGCGCGCCCCCGCCGCGGCCATGGCGCAGGCTGGCGTCCTCGGCGAGGTGACCCAGGTGCTGTGCGCGGCCGGGGGCGCCTTGGAGCTGGAGGAGCTGCGGCGCCGCTTGCGGGAGGGCGTCGGCAACGACGCGCTGGAGCGGCTGCTGCGGGACCGCGGCCGCTTCGCGGTGGCAGCGAGGGCGGGCGGCGCGGCGGCCTCCGCGCAGCGCGTCGTGGTGGCCGTCTCGGCGCTGCGCCTGTGCCGCGCGTACCAGAGCCCCAAGCCGGGCTGCGTGGGGCTGTGCGCTCAGCTGCACCTCTGCAAGTTCTTGGTCTACGGGGCCTGCAAGTTCATGAGGGCCGGGTAAGCGCCGCGCCCGGAGCCCGACGGCGGGGCCGGGGGACCCTGCTCTCTCCCAGCCCGCCCTGGGCCCCTCCTAGAGTCTGGGGAGACCGGGGGGCGTCCGTTCCCTGGCCTCTCCCCACCCTTAATTCTCTACAGCGAACATTTATTGAGCACCTGCTGAATACCGGGTGCCGTGTAAGGGACTCCGGGTGAAGCGGTGTCCCCAAGGCTCCTGCAGTGTCACAGAGGGACTTGGAGCGCGGTACCCGCTGCGACAGCCCGGGGGTGGCGGGGGGTGGGGTGGGGGATTCTCCTCGAGAAAAAGCCGCCTCTGGCTTCCGGAGCCCCCAGACGCCCGGTCTCCAGGGCGACCTTTGAGGGGCCCCACAGCCGAGGGCTTTCTCTGCCCGGCAGCGAAGGAATCTTCGAAAGCCTGTTTCAGCTTTTGCTCGCTTGCTTTACAAGCCGGCAGTGGCCTCCGTGGCACTGGGGGGAAGAAAATGCGTGCCCCTGTTGAGAAGCTAGTCCGCTTCTGTAGAAGAATTCGTTTCTCCTTATTTCCTTTTCTTTCCCCTTTCCTTCCTTTCTTCTTCTTCTCCTCCTCCTCCTTCTTTTTCTTCTTCTTCTTCTTCTTCTTCTTCTTCTTCTTCTTCTTCTTTTTTTTCTGGCTTCACTTTTTCTTGCTCCCGTCAGGTCCACTAGACAGCATGAGGTAGTGGTCTTGATCCATGCAGTCATTCAGGGACCCAGGCCGACTGACCTAGACTCTGTCTCCTTGGCCCATGGCTCTTTAGGCCATTCTGGGTCTCGGATTCCGGGGAGCAGGTGGAGAAGATGGACAGGGGAGGGTTGGGGGGAGGTTTTCCCAGGTCTGGAAGGGGTGGACAGTTTTCCATCTGTCCCCTGGACCACAGGATGTCTCATGACCCCCATCATGTCTAGATGCGAGGGAGGCGGGGAGCTGGGAAATGTGGCCCCTGGGAAGCAGCTGTTGAGAAATACCTAGATTAGAATATTCCAACCCCCAGCTTAAGGCCTTAAGAGGGGAGGGTGTGTGTGTGAGAAATTAGAGATGGGGAGTTGGTGAGAGTGTGGGGACAGGATGGGGGAGAGGTGATGGCTGTTATCTTATTGTTGACTGAGGGATGACTCATACCTCTCTTTTTTCCTTGTTGACCGAGGGATGATTCTTACTTTGCTTTCTTATTGGCGGAGAGAGCAGAAGTGTGTCCAGGGGCAGCTCTCCAAGTCTGCAGCCTGGGAGAGCATGGCCAGGGTCCCAGGTGCTGGCGTGGGAGTTGACGGCTGCAGCCCCAGGAGCGGGTCAGGTCTGAGGTGGAGGCTGACGATGGAACCTTGGGCAGACTGGGCCCTCAGGGACTGGTGTGGATGGGTCACTTCAGGGGAGAAGGAGGAGCAGTAGCTGGAGAAGAAGGCGGACGTAATAAATGGTGGATGGGTGGATCTAACGATGGGGTAACTGGTGGATCTTGTTAACGTCTGTATTTGGTGAAATAAAGATGGCAGCCCTTTTCTCAGCTCGTTCCCAAGGTTGGGGGTTGCGTTTTACTTGTCTTGGAAATCTGGGAGTCTGGTATCTGTTGGCCTAGATGATTCTGAGTTTTCTTTTAAATTCTTCCCTGTTCCACTTTCCATGCGGTTCACACAGGACACTTAATTGAACCTTCCTTCTTCAACTGCTTTCGGGTCACATAAGGGAGAGTGGGTGCGGTTGGCTGCATTTCCTTTGCTTTCTTTGGGACTCTGCTTGTCTCCCTGAACCACAGGGTCCGCTGTTTCAGAAATAGATCATGGCTCCTGCTTTTGCCCACTGGTCACAGCTGGGAAGGGTCCCAGGTCCCTGACTTCATCCTTTGCTGAGGAGCAGTAAGCATCGTGGTTAAGAGCACAGCCCCAAGACCAGCCTGCCTTGTTTCAAGCTGGCTGCACTCCCTGCTAGCTGCACGATCTTGGGCAGGTGACTTTGTATCAGTGTCTCAGTTCCCTCATCTGCAAAATGAGGATAGTATCACCTACCTCATAGACTTGTTGAGGACTGAATGACTTAACTGATAAAACCTCAGGAAATCCCTGGTTTGTGATAAATGCTCAAGTCTTAGTAGCTATTGCTGCCGTCACTATCCTAATTATTAGCTATATTTGGTTCTGGCGGCACCAAGTTTGCCTAGAATGTTTTCCTCTTCTTGCCTGGTTCCTCAACCTAAATATTTGGCCCAGGCTTTACACCTTTTAGGCACTGTCCCTTGAGTGCTTCTGTCAGGCTCAGGTGCCCTTCCCGTCTGCATAGACGTACTCTCAGCACAGCTGACCATGCCATTTTAGAGTCCTCTCCATATCTGTTACTTCCGCTAGAGGAGACAAGGGGAAGAGTCTGGATGACTCCAAGGTTGTCGGTCTGTGCAGTGAAGGAGGGAAGTGGTCTTTTACTGAGCTGGGGGAGCTTGTGAAAGGTGCAGGTTTGGGGGAGTCTGTCACGGGTTGGGTTTTCTTTTGAGATGCTCACAATAAACACGTGAGGTTTGGCAGAGTCTGAGTAAAGCAAATGATGTTTGCCTGACTCTTCCAGGTCCTGGTGACCTGGGAAATCATTTGAAGTGTTTGGATCATCAGGGCGTGGTGCCAGTACGTGGCTCACAGTGAATGTTCAGCCAGGGCTTGTTAGTGGAAAGAACGGAGGAGGAGAGCAGAGAAGAGGTCTGAGCCTCAGGGTGTGAGTGTGTCTGTGCACATACCTATAACCATAGGTGTCCACACTCATTTATTCAACCAGTGTTCAAGTGTCTGCTAAGTGCTCATTGTCTGTCATACTGCAACTCTTCTTTGGGGGATGGCACTGTCATTCTTACCAGATATTGATGAGAAGTGCCGTCCTAGGCCCTCGAGCTTGCAAGGTAATGCCTTTTCCTTTGTGAATAAGCATTACATTTTTTCATCGCATAGACATGTGGGTTTTTTTCTGATGCTCCTAAGCAATGTCAAGAACGATGCCTGAAAAATGATCTTCGAGACTGATTTTACTAGCTTTATTAGTTTGCTAGGGCTGCCATAACAAAGTGCCACAGGCTGGGGCTTAAACAGAAACTTCTCACGATTCTCAAGGCAGGAAGTCTGAGATCAAAGTGTTGGCAGGGTTGATTTCTTTCTGAGCCCTCTCTCCTTGGTTTGCAGATGGCTGTCTTTTACCCGTGTCCTCACAAGTGTGCATCTGTATCTTAATTTTCTCTTCTTATAAAGACATCAGTTGGATTGGACTAGGCCCCCACCCCCCAGCGCAACAACCTCTTTATAAACTATCTCCAAATACAGTCACTGGGGGTTAGAGCTTCAACCTAAGAATTTCGGGGAGGCGCAGTTGAACCGTGACACCAGCTCTGCTTCTTTGCAGGAAGAACTGTAGAAACAGTCACAGCTTGACGACAGATCACAACCTGAGTGTGCTGAGAACTCACGGTGTTGACCACCTCAGCTACAGTGAGCTCTGCCAGCTTTTGTTTCAGAATGACCCCTGGCTTTTGCCAGAGGTGAGTTCCAGGAGGGGGTGTGTATGTATGCAAGTGATGGGGGAGAAGCCAGAGGTCGGGAGAGAGGAAATCTTGTGGCAGAAGAGGAGCCAAGGACCCCAGAGTGACCACAGGGATCTACTTGAAGGAGACCTGGATTGAATTCCTGGCTCTGCTGATTTTTAGACCTGTGACCTTGGGCCAACCTTGCCCCGTCTAGAGGCCTCCTTTCCTTCTGTGTCATTTGGGCCGGTATCTCCTTTTCAGGGCTTCCATGAGATTGGGGGAGTCTGTTTGGCCAGTGGCTGCAACAGGATGTTCCTTACATGGGGATGAGGGGATAAGAGACTCCAGCCTGCTCCTCTCTGTCTAGCAGGACTTGGAACCATGTGTTATTGCCAAACCCAGGAGTTCTGTGAGGAAATTTTTCAGAGATGCTGACAGGCAGGTGATGAGCTCTCTACTCAATCAGTTGCACCCAGGGAATTTTGACCTTTAGTTGATGTGCATTTCAGATGCTAACCGAACCTCCTTGTAATGGCCATGTACTATCTTGGGCCCTCCAAGAAGCAGACGCCAAGATGGGATTAGAAGTGTAAGAGATCTAGTGGAGAGGGAGCAGAAGGAGGTGGGGAGCCTTTGGACAGTGATGTTGCAAGAGAGGGGGAAGGAAGGAGACCGGGTCTCCGGAGGAGACCCTGACTGGAGCACAGTTCTAAGAAAGCTGCTGCTTGGCCATTACGAAGTTCTGAGCTAAAGTAGCTCATTGTTGGCTAGGAGCAGCCCGTGGGAGCATGGTCTCTGTGTGAATCAGGTAGTGGCTCCCGAGGGCAGCAGCTGAGCTGAGTAAGTGGTGTGTTCCTGTGGCTAGCACAGGTTTATGGGATGTTCTGGCACTTTCTCTGGGATAAGGCTACAGAGATTAGATTGACCTGGTTTAATGAAAATGCTTCCATATTACTCAGTTAAAACCACTCATTTGAGAACGGTGCTTTGTGGCTTAGTGACTGCTACGTAATAGATAGTAACTTTTCTCTTGCCTTTTTGAAAATTATTGATTCAGCTAACCTTTATTGAATAACCACTACGGGTCAGGCACTGCCGATAAAGAGATAAAAGACCCTGTTCTGCCCTTCCAGGAGGCAAGTTTACTGGGTGAGACAGACAAATCAGTGTGTGATTGTAAGGTGCTATTTTAGGTGCTGCGATAGAAGTGAGCACTCTGGCCTCAGGCAGTTGGGGCACTTGGGAAGGCATCCTGGGGTAGGCGGTGCCTGCTCTGAATGCTGAAGGGTGAATGAAGGATGAAGGTCTGGGAAGAAGGGGGGCACAGAGGACAGAACCTGGCACGGTCGGGGGACAGCATGTAGCTGAGCACAGCTTAGATTTAGGTTGGGAGAGGAGAGAAGGAGAAATGGGTGAGTAGAGACTGATCCATGCAGCCTTTGGTATCACAGGAAGGACTTGGGGTGGGGGGTTGTGTTTGGAGAGTGGACATTAATGTTTTGGAGTGAGCAGCTTGTCAGTGGTATAAAAAAATGAATCCGAAGGTGACCAGTCTGGAGTGTGTAGCCTCTTGTCTTCTGGGGTATGCAGGTGGTTTTTAGAGCACAGTGCCGGCAACCGGAACTGTGACCATAAACTCAGATCCAGTGCAGCTTTCCTGCCAGGCCTTCTGCTCTCAGGCTAGTCCCCTTATCAGATGAACAGTTGGGGCCACCACCATGAATCGAGTACCCACTACGTTCCAAGGCATTGTCTCGGCCACTTTGTATATTTCCCATTTAATCCTCATAATAACCCAAGGATGGAGGTAGCATTATTCCCATTTTAGGGATTAAAAGCTGAAATTCAGAGCTGGTGAGTGACTTGTCTAAGGTCAGGCGTCTTGTAAGTGGCAAAATCAAGGTTAGGGCCCAGCCTCTTCTAGCCTTTTCCCTTGGGGCTTCTGTCCCGAGTGGGGTCCCTGCGTATCTAAGTCTGGGTTCTGCAGCCCTCTGCTGCTTTTCTATCTTTTGCTCAGTGTATGAATTGAGTGGGTAGGCCTTTGGTGGTCTCTAGGAATTTGGAATGTAGAGAAGGAGCAGTTGATTCAGGTTTAAGTCCCAGCTTTACCAACGATGCAGTTCAACAGACATTGCGTGTGCCAGATGTAGATAGCTGGCAGTGAACTAGGGCAAGCCGGTGAACTTCTCTGAGTTTCACTTTGCTCTTGAGAAATGAAAGGGCTCTATTTGGCCTTCTCTAAGATGCTTTAAACGCTCAGAGCCTCTTTGACCTTGAATTTCAGAAAGAAGGGAGATAGAAGCCTGGCTTAGGGAGAGTTGGTGAGTCAGTGGGGGAAGGGTGTAGGTGGAGTATATGGGTTGTTAGCCTCCTGCTATGTGAGTTATGTTGAATTGTCTCCTGGGAAGGGAGCAGCTCTGATCAGTTGGAAGTTCTTTGGATTTTCCCAATGGAAAGGCTTGTTCTGCTCATTGCTGTCCATCCAGTTCCCGTTTTATCCAAGGGCATATGTTAGCAGTGGTCCATCTAGAGTGGAGGATGTTCTCAGAGCTGTGTGGCTTGTGTGGATGACGGAATCACAGCTTTGGCCAGATCTCTGGAGGAACTTCTTCTGACCGTGGACTGGTCAGTAGTGGGGTGGTGTCCTGTGAGACCTTCCTAAGCTGGTGTTTTTATTCCTTTTCTGTCAACAGATCTGCCTTCATTACAACAAAGGAGATGGACCCTACGGCTCTTGTTCCTTTCAAAAGCAGTGTATCAAACTCCATATCTGCCAGTATTTTTTACAGGGTGAATGCAAGTTTGGCACTGGCTGTAAGAGATCTCATGATATCTCTAATTCTGAGAATCTGGAGAAACTGGAGAAGTTGGGCATGAACTCCGATCTGGTGAACAGGCTGCCTTCCATATACAGAAATGCTCACGACATCAAGAATAGGAGCTCCACCTCCAGCAGAGGGCACCCTCCTCCTCCAGGCCCACAGGCCACTTCTGGTAAGGCCCTGGGCTGGGGCCCGTAGATTCCAGCTGGCCATTAATGGAATGTATGACTTTGGGCAAGTCACTGCTGCTTTTAGTAAAGTCAGTTGGTGATTCCTTCATCAGTGGGTGTTGTAAAGATGACTTGGAATCCTAGCCATGAACAAGCAAGACAAATGCCATTTGAGGTTGACTGAATGAATTCCCCACAGGTCTGATCTACTGTCAAGGAAACATATTTTAATTTCAGCTCTCTTCTTGGCATGAATAAATGGGATTTTTTAGTCCCTGTAAATTTTCTTTGTTCGCTGCTCGTCTTCAGCACCTAGACAGTGCCTGGTCCATAGTGGGCATGCAGGCATTTGGTGAGTGATTGAGCATGCTAGTATACTTTTTTTTTTTAAATAAAGGAATTTGCTAACTATAGTGGCATCTAGGATTTTTAATAGACCACTTCCTAAAATATCAGTTCTAGGTGTTGCTAGGACTACCAGCAAACACACTTAACACTCTAATCTTTTAAATTTTTTTTTAAATGGTTATTTATTTTGGAGACAGAGTATGAGGGAAGGGGCACAGAGAGAGGGAGTCACAGAATCCAAAGCAGGCTCCAGGCTCTGAGGTGTCAGCACACGTGGGGCTCGAATCCATAAATTGTGAGATCATGACCCGAACTGAAGTTGGACGCTTAACTGACTGAGCCACTCAGGCACCCCAACATCTAATCTCACTTGATTTTGATATTTAAAAATTGTCCTTGCCATATATGTGTTTTCTTTACATTTCCTCCCGTTATTTTGGGTTAATTTCTTTCAATAGTAGGAAGCTAGATGTAGACAGATTTTGCTTTAAATAGATTTTTAAGAGTGTCAAGTGGATTATGGCCTTAGAAAGGGAGGGAAGGATACTTGTCCTTGGGGAGCAAGGGAGGTTATTTCCAAGGCCCCAAAGGTGTGGGTTTTGAGGCCCACCCTGTGGATGTCTGAAGGGCCCATAAAAAGAAAAAGGAAAAGGAGTAACGTAATTAACAGGCAATACTGAATAGAGAGGGTTTGCGAATGAGTTTTGTTTTCTTGTATTATGGTAGGTGGGTGCGGTGGTAAATGTAATTGTTAGGTAAAGTCTCATTGGAGCACTAGTAAAGATAAATTCTGAAATACCCTCCATGCCTGTTTTAAGTTAAAATTCTTGCAATTAATGTAAAGTTATTAAGGAGGTTTCATATTAAAATTGGGAGCATAGAGCTGAGAAAAAAGAGCCTCTCCATGGTGTCCTGGATTTGGCAAGCAACTGTGTGGCTTTGGGTTCCCTGGCTTCTCCCCTAAAAAGCAGAGAGGGGGTCCACTTGTATGTCTGAGGGTCATTTTATCTTGAACATCATAGGATTTTGTGAGATTACCTCGCCTACTTTTGCCTTATGCAGGGAAGTGAATGCTCTTTTCTGTCCTTTGTATCTTGAACTACTCTGACTCCACACTGGAAGCTTTGGTGGATACTGATACATCTCTGTGGTGTTTCCTTGTAGAAAGAAGAGATAGTTCAGGTTGTGTATCCCCAAACAATGCTAACCAGGAGGAGAATGATCAGATCTGCTTGTACCACATCCGGAAAAGTTGTAGCTTTCAAGGTAAGTCAGAGGAATCCCCTTCATCCGCTTGCAGGTGGAATAGCTGCTATGTGTTTCAAGAGTTCTGCCCTAAGGCCACCCTTCAGGGCCCTCTCCCCCATCCAGAGAGGGTTGGGGCCTTCTTCATGGTGAGCTGGTGTGGCACTTTGCCAAACCAGTTCTGAAGCGATTTTGTTGGGGAGTTGAGGATGGTAGGAATTGAGTTTCTTGAAATCAGACTGTAGATGAGTTTTGGGGAACGTAACTGGTTCATTCAGTGTCAAGTGTTGACCCTGGATCACCTTAGCATGAGGTCACAGGCCTGCACAGATGCCCCGTGTAGTGGAAACAAATATAAGTGTCCCTTATAAAGGGAGGTTGTAGACTTAGAAATGCTTCAGAAACCCGGAAGGCCTTCCCTGAGGAGGAGATGCCTGTGTGTGCTCTTGGGGAATAAGAACTTAAGTTGGGGGTTTCTCTCCATGGTCCCTCTTTTTTTTAATTAAAAAAATTTTTTTAATGTTTGTTTTTTGAGAGCGAGCAAGCTGGGGAACAAGGGGCAGAGAGAGAGGGAGACAGATCCCAAGCAGGCTCCACACTGTCAGCAGAGCCTGATGCAGGGCTGGAACTCATGAACCGTGAGATCATGACCTGAGCCGAAACCAAGAGTCAGACGTTGAACTGACTGAGCCACCCAGGTGCCCCTTCTCTCCATGGTCCCTCTTTTATCACAAGTAGCAATTCTTGTGTGTACGTGTTTGTCTGTATTTACTAAAGCTTTGTTTTCTTCTTATTGCTGTCCTGGGTTTTGACTGAAGAAAGCTTCCTTCTCAAATTCGGTGACTGCTCTTAAAAAACAACCACCAAACTTCTTGTTTTGTTTTCAGTCTTTAAAAGCCACCCAAGCAATTCAGGAATACTTTCACTTTGTGAAAGAGTCCAATAATACAGAGTAAAGTCTGAAGTCCTCCTTCAGCCCTTCCCAAAGGTAAACACGTGCCGTGTGGTTATGATACTTGTTTCGCATGTTTTTCAACAGATGGGAACACGTGATAGGTATTATTTAACCTGCTTCCTTCACTTAACATTGTGTCTTGAAGATTTCTTTCTACATTGGTATGTGTGCGTCTACCTTATTTTGAAAAACAACTGTAGTGTCCAGTAAGAGTGATGTTCCATTGAGCATCTGAGTACACATAGGTATTTCCATAGCTAGATTCCTGGAAATGGAATGCTAGCTCAAGAAATATGTATCATATGTGCATGTATGTGTTTAAAGTCAATTTTAGTGAGATATAATTTACACACAATAACATTTTAAGTATTTAAAAATTTTAAGTATACACTGAGTTTTGGTAATAACAATTGGGGTAATGGAAGAGTTTCCTTATTATAAAGGGTCCCTTTGTCCTGTTGTAGTGAATCCTCACCCCCCAATTTCCTGACCTCACACAGTCTCTGATCTGCATTTTGTCACTGTAGATTTGCCCTTTCTAGAAATTCATATAAATGGAATCATACAGCATGTATTCTACTGTACCTGTCTTCTCTCACTCAGCATGTTTTTGTGATTTGTCCATGCTGGCAAATCAGTAGTTTGCTCCTTTGTATTGCTGAGTTGTATTCTGTTGGATGGATTGAATACAATTTATCAATTCATATGTTGATGAACATTTGAGGTGTTGCAAGTTTTTGGCTTTTACAAATAAAACTTTTATAAATATTTATGTGCAAGGTTTATTGTGGGTGTATGTTTTCACTTAAATTTTATTTTTGATGTTTATTTTTGAGAGACAGAGTGTGAGCAGGAGAGGGGCAGAGAGAGAGAGGGAGACACAGAATCTGAAGCAGGTTCTGGGCTCCGAGCTGACAGCACGGAGCCCGATGCAGGGCTCGAACTCATGAACTGTGAGATCATGACCTGAGCTGAAGTTGGATGCTTAACTGACTGAGCCACCCAGGCACCCCTGTTTTCACTTCTTTTGAGTAAAGACCTAGATGTGAAATTACTATATAAGTGTGTGTTTAACTTTATAAGACACTGGTGGGTATACCTTCCCACCAACAATGTACGAGAGTTTGATGCTCTGTTTTTGTTAACACTTGGTATTGCCAGTCTTTTAAACTTTAGCCATTATAATTAATGAGTCGTGATATTTCATTGTGGTTCTAATTTGTATTTCCCTGATGATAATGATTTTGAACGTTTTTTTAAAAAATGTTTTTATTTTTGAGAGAGACCGTGGAGTGGGAGTGGGGCAGAGAGGAAGAGGGAGACTCAGAATCCAAAGCAGGCTCCAGGCTCTGAGCTTTCAGCACAGAGCCTGACATGGGGCTCAAACCCACAAACTGTGAGATCATGACCTGAGCCGAAGTCAGTTGCTCAACCGACTGAGCCACCCAGGCGCCCTGAATGTTTCTGTTCATGTACTCACTGGCCATTTGTATATCTTCAATGAAGTATCTGTTTAAATTTTCTGATTTTTTTTTTATGACAGCTTGATTGAGGTATTGAGTGTAATGCACATACCATACAATTTACCCAGTTAATAGTTTTTAGTATAGTTACAGAATTGTGCAGCCATCATCACAGTTAATATTTAGGACATTTCATGATCCTCGAAGAAATCCTGTACCCATACTTCCTGCACCCCAGCTCCTGGCAACTACAGGTTTACATTCTGTCTCTATGGATTTGTTTGGTTATTTCATGTAAATGGAATCATATAATACATAGTCTTTTGTGACTTGTAAAAAGCTTATTTATTGTGAAAGAAAGCGTGAGTAGGGAAGGGGCAGAGAGAGAGGGAGACACAGAATCCCAGGCTGGCTCTGCAGTGTCAACACAGCCCAGTGCAAGGTTAAGACTCAAGAACCTTGAGATCTTGACCTGAGCTGAAATCAAGGGTTGATGCTTAACTGACTGAGCCACCCAGGTGCCCCCTTGTTTTGCCTATTTTTTAATTGGATGGTTTGATCTCTCATTATTGGGTTGTGAGGATTTGGTGTATTATTTATACAAGTGGTTGTGAGATGTAGGTATTGAAAATAAATTCTCCCAGTCTGTGGTTTTATGTTCATTTTTTTCTTTTTTTCTCTTTTTTTCAAAATTTTACTTAAATTCTAACTACTTAACATATAGCATAATATTGGTTTCAGGAGTAGAATTTAGTGATTTGTCAGTTACAAATGTTCATTTTCCTTATGGTTTTTTTTTTGAGGAATAAAAGTTGTTTTGTTTTTGTTTTAGAGGGTGGGAGAGAGCACGTGAGCAGGGGAGGGATGGGGGAGGGAGGGAGAGAAAGAGAGAGAGAGAGAGAGACAGAGAGAGAGAGAGAGAGAGAGAGAGAGAGAGAGAGAGAGAATTTGAAGCAGATTCCACACTCATCACAGTCTGACACGGGGCTTGATCCCATGACGGTTAGATCGTGACCTGAGCTGAAATCAAGAGTCAAACACTTAACTGACTCAGCCACACAGGCGCCCCTTGAGGAATAAAAGTTTTAATATCAGTGAGGATTTTAGTATTTTTTTGTTTTATAGTTTTCTTGTTTTCTTGTGTCTCAAAAATCTTTGCCTGTTCCAAGCCTCTGAAAATGGCGCCATGTTTTTTTTCCCCGAGTTTTATCGGTTTCACTTTTACAAATTGAGGTCTAGCTATTAATCTATATACTCTAATAATTATTTCTTGGGTATTGGTTTTTTTTAATATTTATTTATTTACTTTGAGAGACTGAGTGAGCATGAGCAGGAGAGGGGCAGAGAGAGAATCTTAAGCAAGCTCTGTGGTGATGGCAAAAAGCCTGATGTGGGGCTTGATCTCATGAACCATGAGACCTTGACCTGAGCCAAAATCACAAGTCTGACGTTTAACTGACTGAGCCACCCAGGTGCCCTGGTATTGGTTCTTCTGTGTGAGTTAGCTTCCTGTCTGTGTTAGTCTCCCTCACATGTGGGGTGACTCGTGGTTTCTACTCCAGAATTCAGTGTCTGCTGGTGATGTGGATTCTGATCGAGGCTTAATGAGGAAGGGGCAGTACATGTTGTGCGGTGGCTTGGGCTGCTAGTGTGTATCCTTGGAATGGGGTGGGAGCTTTGATGGCCCTCTTACATGCTTGTCTCTCTCCAGCACTTACGTTCACAGTCACTTGTTCTGTGGGACAAATAGCAAGGTTGCTGGGCACAAGCAATGCACAGAGGGAGTTCCTGCTCTGGTGGGTCCCATTTAGTTTCATTGTGAGTGGCAAGGTGTCTTTCTTGCCTTTCATTACGTGTAACTCTTTAGGCCACTCTCCCCAGTATTTCTCCCTTCCATGGTAGATCTCTTCATATCTTGCAGGGGTTTCTCTCTCTTTATCTCCCTCAGTTTGATTCTGTGTCCTTCATATTCTTAGGGATTCTTCAATAATTCTGGTCTTTTGATAGCACTGATTACTGTTTTTCCAGCATTTTTCAATTTGTTCTTCTCTCTGGTCTATCATTTCAAGTGATGTAGGGAGAGAGGGGATATGGATATGGTACTTTGCCAAATTAATTTGTTTTTGCGACTTACCTTCCAGAAGGCCTAGATTCTAGAATGCCGCAACAAGGAGGGGAACGTTAGAAGGAGGGAGAGGAAATCGAGAAAGGGGACAGGAGGACCAGAGAAGATGTGGCAGAGAAGGGGACTCATCAACTGGGACTCCGCTCTAACCAGCCACTGTGGCTGCAGTGGCCTGTATGGCACCTTCTTTTCTTAGGCTTGAGTGATACGGTCTTCACGTTGAGCTCACATTAAGAGTTGGAAGCCTGGGCCTGCAGTCTTTTGACCACAGAGCCTTCCCTGTGCCCCTGTGTCCTTCCCAAGGAAGTGTCAGCCTGGAGGGTGGTAGGTGGTGTGCCTTCCTTGAAGGGGATCTTCTTAAGGAGAGAGTCTTCAGGCTGTCCAGGACTCACCTGAGCCGAGGTATATAGGTGCAGTGACTGAATGCTCCTAACTCTGATCATTCCCTTCGTGCCCTTCAGGGAGGGAACAGGAAATCTTACGTGGTTATGACCTCTGGACCATAGCTGTGCTCTTACCTATCCAGGTTGAGCCCTTCATTATTACTGTATTGTGTAGAGTCCAAGAGGTCTCTTGGCTTGGTATGAGTTGTCCACACTGTAACTCTGGACAAGTCAGGATGTCCTGAGTCCCCAGAGTGGCTGAATCCAGCCTTGGTGAACTTGGAGGGGATTTCCTGGGTTGAGGTGTCTCTTGTTCCCTGAGTCTTGGCTGGGTGCTCTTGTCTGTCCTGTCTGCCTGGCATCAGGCCTAGCCTTTGACACCTTCAGGCAGCCTGCCCACCTTCCTCCATGGTCCTCCTGGACCAAGGTAACTTTTGTAGATCCTGTGGGAAGGAAGTGGCATTGAGATATGTCTGAAAAGCCTGCATACAATTTTAGAAAGTTTTAATTTTTTTCAAGTGTCAAATTAGCCATGCCTCGTTGTTAATATTTTGACAGATGAGTTAAAAATGTACAGAGGACATCCAGTAAGAAATGTCTCCCTCACACCTCTTTTTTCTAGCACCCAGATCCCTTCCAGAAGCAGTCATTATTACCAGTTCCTTGACTATCCTTCCATGAAGATTTTATATGTACACAAGTATATATGTCTGATCAGTTTCCTTCTGACGTAGGTGCACTGTACACACTGTTTTGTATCTTTTCCCACTTAACTAGACATTTAATTTTTTGGAATATATTCTTGTGGTTCAAACTTCAAAAGAAAACAACACAAGTCTTTCCTCATAACTTTGTCCCTGGCTACCAACTTCCCCTCTGCAAGGAATAATATGTGTATGTATATGTATTTAGAGAATTTCTCATTTTTCTTTTCTACCTTTTTACCCAAGTAGAGGCGTTCTGCACCTTTTTGTGTATCATTCTACCTAATAACATATACCTTGGAAGTAGGTCTGTATCAGAGTGCAAAGAGATTGCTGCTGCTTTTCTTTCCAGTGTGCCTTTCCTCGGTGGGGATGTACCAGAATTTCATATAGGATATTGAAAAGTAACAAAAGTGTCAGGTGCATTGCAGGTGAGGGGCTGGCATGAGCCAAGGTGAGGCAGGCAGAATGTGCTAGGAGTGACAGAGGTCCCAGGGTGCACAGGGAAGATGTAGGGGGAGCACCTGGCTTGAAACTGTAGACCTGGGCCATTTTGTATGTTTTGGCAGGGGCAGGGCAGTGTATATAAATACCTTCAGGGGTGATGTGGGGATGTGTCGAGGTGGTGAGTATGTTAGCAGCCAGAAGATCAAAGCAGGCTGGAACCACACTGCTGACCTGCCTGTGGTCAGATGCGTCGGGGTTTGGATGGGTTTCTAATAGAGATGAATCTGGTTCAGTTTTTAGTGTGACTGCTACCTGTCCACATGCTACATGTATAGTGATAATATACATGGGTGATCACACTGCCTCCCGCAGTCTGATTGACCTTTTCATGGTCAGCTTCTTTGCTCATGAGATGAAATTCAAATGTAATGTTACCTGCCAACATACGTATTTTTAAAAATTGATATAACGCCCTATTAAAAGGGGAGATGTAAAACGGAAGTGCGTATAATAAAATACACAGTATTTCAGTATTTAGATGCTCAGGTATGACTGCACTAAAAATAATGCCCCCACAGATCTCCAAAATGTTCCCAGGTCAGTGGGCATTACCACCCCCATTGAGAACCATGGGCCTGGGTCATGCTATGTATTGCCAAGTGTCTTACTTCTTAATATTTTTATTTTAGATAAGTGCAATAAAGTTCATTTCCATTTGCCATATCGATGGCAGTTCTTGGACAGAGGCAAATGGAAGGATTTGGACAAAATGGAGCTTATTGAAGAGGCATATAGCAATCCCAGAAAAGACAGGTATGAAATACATTACTGGTGTCTGCTTTCTGACTGGGCTTTTGTGTGCAGTGTGGGAAGTTTAGACACAACAGAGTTTAGGTTTGATCACACACACACACCCCCCAATAAACAGCTTGGGCTGGAAATTGGAAGTTACTGTTCAAACTGTGGATTGGTGCCTTTATCTCCTTCAGGGAGGAGCTATGGGGAAAGGAACTGGTGGTACCAGATAAGTTTTGAATTACTTGCTGCTGGGATTGATTGTGTACATATATCCACATGGATTAATGCAGAAAAGTGAGAAGCAGTCATTTGTGAAATTTTAGCCTTTGCATGTAAAGTCATGCAGCTGAACTGCTGTTTACTATTCAGCCTTTAACTTTTTAATTTTTCTGTGTGTGTCCCAGTATTTTCACTTAGTTGATTCAGAATGGGGAAGTCCGGGGAGCCTTATTTTCAAATACTTCACCATATCTTGGATTGAACTTGCTAAAATATGTTGCCATGAAGAGAATTTAAGCCCACTCTTTTTAAGGTGGAAAAAATAAATTTGTGCTAAGGGTGCAATTGTGTGCAGATTGCTGCTGGGGAAGTATGTGGAACAAATGGTTCCCCTTGGGAAGATGCATTGGCTGACTCTTCCCCTCTCTCTGTTTTTCTGAGGCAGAATTTACACATAGGGAAGTGCACAGATATTAATCGTGTAGTTCAGTGAGTCTTGATGAATGCATGCGCTCATGTAACACTCTCATCCAAATAGAGATCATTTTCATCGCCGTAGAAAGTCCCCTCCTGTCCCCTTCCCATCCGTGCCCACCCCCAGGCCACCATTGTTTGGACATCTGTCACCACAGGTTAGTCTTGCCTGTTCTTGAACCCTGTCTGAATGGAGCATACGCTCTACCACCACGTCTGGTGTCTTTCTCTCAGTGCTTTGTGCTTGAGTCTCTGCTTGTCTCCTGGTGCGCGTGCGAGCGGGCTTCTGTAGGCCTGACGTTTGGGGATGAGTTCTGGGAGGTAGGCTGGCTCCCTCTTCAGCTCTGCCCGGTGGCGCTAAATGGTCGTGCCACTTTCCACACCCGTTCGGTCTGTGGTGACCGTGTCCCCAGCGTTTGGTATTGTTTGCATCTGAACGTTTCGCAGCCTGGGGATTTAAAGTGGCACACGTGGCATCTGCGTTTGCAGGTCTCTGGGTCCTAATGAGGTAATGTGTCTCTTCACCTGTTTCTTGGCCACTTGAGCTTCCTCTGCTGTGAAATGTCTGTTCTTGTAGTTTGGCTGTTTTGTTGAAGGGGAAGGTTGTGTGTTCAGTTATTTATTTAGTTTTAGGAATTCTTTAAATTTCTGGATATTAAATGTGCGTTGAAGATAAACTCTTCCTGTCAGCTTATGGTATATTTTAATATAGATAAGTATTTATCCGTCTTTTCCTTTACGGCTTATACTTTTTGAGTCATAAGAAATCTTTACCTATCCCAGGACTGTAAGGAAATTTTTCTTTAAAAAATCTTAACGTTTTAAGGACTGTTTAATCTTTACCCTGCAGGTGGTGAAATATGGGTCCAGTTTCATTCTTACGCAGATGAATCACCGGTTTTGGCAAAACTACTTTTTAAAAATATATTTAATTAAAAATATATAAAATTGTGGTAATATATACGTAACATAAAATTTGCCATCTTAACCATTTATTTTTATTTATGTTATGTTATGTTATTTATTTATTTATTTAAAGAACACGGGAGGGGCAGAGAGAGAGAGAATCTTAAGCAGGCTTCACACCTTCAGCGCAGAGCCCAATGCGGGGCTCAGTCTCACAAACCTTGAGACCACGACCAGAGCCAAAGTCAGATGCGTAACCAACTGAGCCACCCACGCACCCCTTTATTTTTATTTATTTTTTATTTTTCTTATTCTTTTCATTATTTTTATTCTTATTTTTGAGAGAGAAGTGGGGAGAGGGAAAGAGAGAATCCTAAGTAGGCTCCACATGTAGTGCAGAGCCCGGCATGGGGCCGTATCCCGTGACCCCAGGGTCATGACCTGAGCTAAAACCAAGAGTAAAACACTCAACTGACTGAGCCACCCAGGTGCCCCATCTTAACCATTTTTAAGTGTAGGTTCAGTGGCATGCGTTGCATTCACATTGTTGTACAGCCATTCCCATCATCCATTTCTAGCAGTTATTTTTAAACCCATCAAAACTGAGCCCAATTTGGCAGTGTTAACACATTTTATAGCTTATTTTCAGGCTGGTGTGCCAAATATCACTTGTTTAAGTAGGCCAGCTCTGCACCTGTTTCTAAGTGCCACCTGTGTCAGGCACTGGATCAGCGAATACACCCACTGGTCCTCTCTTGTCGTTCACTGGTCGGTCTGTCTCTGCTTCAGTGACACACTGTCTTGACCTAGTGGAGCTTTAAGTGTTGGCATTTGGTAAGGCAAATCCCTGTCTTCTCTTTCTTTGAATTGCCAGGGCTCTTGGTCTTTTGCTCCTCTTCAGAAATTAAAAAAAAGTTTTTTTACATTTAAATAAATGTAAATTTTTGAGAGACAGAGAACAATTGGGAAAGGGCAGAGAGAGGAGACACAGAATCCGAAGCAGGGTCCAGGCTCTGAATTGTCTGCACACAGCCCAGCGCGGAGCTCGAGCTCAAAAACCGTGAGATCTTGACCTGAGCCGAAGTCGGATGCTTAACTGTCTGAGCCACCCAGGCGCCCCTAGAAACTTTTAAATGTCATTGGTTTTCACAAAAATCTCTGTTGTGATTTTTGAAATTAATATTGCATTGACTTGGCGTTTCTGGGGAACTGACACCATAATGATGCTGAGATTTTTCTATTCATATAAATGATAGCATGTGCTTATTTAAATCTTTTAAAATATCTTTCAGTGGTTTTTATAACTTCTCTATTAGGGTCTTGGATATCATTTGTTAGAGATTTAATTTTTTTTTCCAGTTGTGCTGAGATGCAATTGACTTTCAACACTAGAAGTTTAAGGTGTGAGGCATAATGACTTGACATATGTGTATATTGCAAAATGATTATCTGGATAAGTTAACATCCATCACTTCATATAGTTACTAAACAATTTTTTTCCTTACAATGAGAACTTTGAGTTTATTCTCCTACCAACTTTTAAATGTACCGTATAGCATTAACTGTAGTCGTCATGTTATATGTTACATCCCCAGTAAAAAAAAAAATTTTTCTCTGTGCTGATGTATAGAAATGCAATTGACTTTTGTCACCTGTTGTATCTGCAACTTTACTAAGGTATCTGAACTCAGAGGACTCTCTTGGTAATGTTTGAATTATCTGTATAGTTATCTATATATTCTAGATATCTATCTAGACATTAATATTTGTGAATAGCATTTTAATTTCATCCTTTTTGTTCCCCCCTCTACCCCCTCTGTCCCTTTCTCTCCCACTCCCTCTCTCTCCCTCTCTCTTCTCTCTTCCTCTCTCTCTCCCCTCCCTTGCCCCCACAGACACACACATACTCAACTCACACACAATGCTGAATTTGGATGGCCAGTACTTAAGATATTTGCATTCATATTTGAGTAAGATTGGTCTATAATTTTTTCATATTGTCTTGATCTGGTTGTTATCTTAAGTGTCTACCCTCATGAAGATGAGATTGGGATGGTTATCTTTTCTGTTTTCTGAAAAAATTTATGTAAAGTTAGAATAATTTTTTTCCTGAATGACTATGTGTCTATAAGAGTATCTAGGCCTAATGTTTAATTTGGGGGAAGATTTTAAACTGCTAACCAGTCAGGTTTTCTATTTTTCTTGAGTCAATTTTGGTAAACTTAATGATTTTTCCAGGAGTTTGTTCATTTTATTTATTGCTAAACTAATTGTCATACACTTGCTTATAATACCTCTTTTAGTGTCTATGACATTTTTAATTTTTACCTTTTATATTTCCAATATCCTCCTTTTTTTTCTTATCAATCTTGCAGAGATTTATTGATTTAATTAAAAAATTTTTTTATAAGAACCAACTTGTACTCCCCTCCCCCCACTTGGAAACATTTTTTCCCCCTGAGGTACGTGTCACATTGATGTTCACGTCTACCAGCTGAGCATCTAGAAGACCACAGGTAGCACCTGAGTGTTCGCTTGACTGGTGGAATTTTCAGTTTACCTCTCACTTCCTTTGCAGGATCCTCTGTGCCGAGTCAGCCAGCAACTTTCACTTTGATTGTCTAGACTTTGACTCCATGATGTTTGGTGCTGCCCCAGCCCGACGCCTCTCCACAGCCTCCTCGGTTACTAAACCTCCACACTTCATCCTCACCACTGACTGGGTTTGGTACTGGACTGATGAGTTTGGTTCTTGGCAGGAGTATGGAAGACAAGTAAGTGTCATGGAAAGAGGACAGGTGTTTTCTCCTGAGGGCCCCCGATGGAGGAGCCATTTCAGACATGAGCACGAGGATTGTTCTGGGGAGTCCTTGATAGAGACAAAGAGCCCCAAATCCTCCCGTGACTCACTTGCTTGGGGAGAATTATGATAAAACTAGGTAGTTGGGAGTTCTTCTGTATGATTAGGTATCTGTTGGCCTCATGAGAACATGGCCTAGTGTAAATTATAGCGAGAGGACATTTCTTCATTGGTTTTGTTACATGGGATAGAAAGATGCCTCCCTTAACTGTTGAACAGATAGCTCCAAAGCAAGTGTCTGTGTGTATAGGAGACTTGTGTAGCTGCAGAATAAACTTTAAGGCCCTTTGAAACTAGCTTCTGACTTCTCTGTAGCAGCAACTTCATAGAACGTGGGCAAGTGTAAGAAAATTGATTTATTTCAGGTATTGGTTTGGAATCTGGATCTGATAACTGTTGCTGTCAATTATTTGAAGATGTTCATGGCTGGATCACATTAAAGGGAACCCTCTGGGCACCTGTAGAGGTACAAGTATAGGGAGGTCACCATTTCTATAGGAACAGCTTTCCGAAATGAAAATTGGGATATGTGGTCTGATAGACATTTGTACTCTTCTGTGTTTTATAAGGCTGTATTAAAGCTTTAGTTTCTTATTTTGGCTTACACCTAGGGTATCTTTTTCTCTGGGAACCCTGTAATGAGAGCTCCATGAGAGCAGGGAGTTCTGTCTCTCTTTTGCCACACATGTGCCCTGTGTGGAAGACTCTGCCTGTACCCTGCAAGTTCTCAGGTCATAGATGTTGGTGGGTTGAAGGACAGAGTAATTGCTGCCCCACGGCCACTGCTGAGTTGGACATGGTCACTCTCAGCAGTGGCCTTGCTTTAGCCCTCATACACTTCTCCATTTCTTGCAGTGCCAGCCTTTCCTCATCGGCTATTCTGTCTGCCCTCTTTCCCACCCATCTCCCTCTCCTTCCTTGCCATGCAGATATGTTCAGGGAGGCTCCCCAACATTGCTCTCGGTTTGGTCGGGAGCAGGAGGGGAGAGGCCATGCCTGGTATCGAGGAGGGGGATAGAATGAGGGGCTGGTTATGTTCCATGAATGGAACTTCTCTGGTGACCTGATGAAGGAACTCATGGCAGGTGAAAAGCACTTAGCAAATGTGACTACCTCTCACGTTTTTGTTTTGTGGTGTGTCCCCCTTCTCAGGGAGCTGAATGAGATGACATGAGACCCTAAGGGCATCCCATGAAAAAGTGGGATTCCCTAGGTGACTTGGCAAACTGCATTATCACAACTTTAGGAAGTGGGGGCCTTCTTCCTCCAAACAACCCCCACTCAGGGCTTTACCTTTTTTTTCTCTATGCTGCTCTTCATTTACTCTGTATAGTCAGAGTGTATAACTTCACTTAGAACATTGAGAATCTCTGGGAATTACCTGTATTTGGGTATCATAGATGTGCTACGTGATGGTGGGGCGCAGATGCACATGTGTGAATTCAGTGGTTATTGGTTGTGCGGTCTCATTTGGTACCGTTGGCTGAATCGCCTCATAGGGTGACCTGTCAACTCCAGCTCTTCTTTCCCGTACACTTCTGGTGTCATCCTGTATTTGGATTTCTTTCTTAGTTTTCTGCTAATTGCCAGTTTAGGACCATTTTCTTTTGATTCAGAAAGCTAGGTTCTTTTCTTCCCAAGCTCAGGAGGTACAGCCAAATTTCAGTCCAAATTACCTCCACCCTATATTAATTTCCTAAGGCTTCCATGACAAAATACCACAAGCTGGGTGGCTTAGAACAGCAGTGACTTACTGTGTCACAGCTGGATGCTGGAAATCGAAATCAAGGTGTCAGCAGGGCCATGTTCCCTTTAAAGCTTGTAGGGAGTCATATTTGCCTCCTCCTAGCTTCTGGCGGCTTCCCTGGTCTGTAGGTTCTTCAGTCTAGTCTCTGCTTTGTCATCATGTGGCCGTTCTCTTATAAGGACATAGGTTATGTGGATTAGGGGCCCACCCTACTCCAGTATGATCTCATCTTAACTAACTACATCTGCAGTGACTCTGTTTCCAAATAAAGTCAAGTTTTGAGGTACTAGAGTTAAGACTTCAGCATATCTTTTACAGCAAAGGAGGTGGCATAGTGCAATCCATAACCTAATCTTGTGGATAAAGATGTTACTGTCCAGGCCCACTGAATTTTCCTGCGTTAAACTCAATGTCCCTGAGGTGTTGGGCTCCAGGATGCTTTACCCTGACCTGTATCCTTTTTGGATCATTCTCAACAAGCTGCTCATGTTGATAGACCTTTTGAGTTAGCACCCTTTCCTGTGATCTGCTTTGCCTTGATCTAAAACCTCTACAGCTGCTCTCACCCTTTTGGGCCTGAACAACCCATTCATCTCTACATGGAAGTAAAGACCCCTGTTCGTTCCTTCATTTTCCAGGATCTAACTTGTGTTCCTGTTACGTGTTCATCTAGCCACTTTTCATGGAGCGCTGGCAGGACGTGGGACCTTGCCAGACACAGCCCTTACTGTGCCATAGAAGCTGGCAAACGGCCATGGGCCCAGGTGCCAAATCTTGTGGCATTTGCAGCCTTTGCCCGCTCCCTCCTCACCCTCCTGTCTCATTCCTCCTCAGTCTCCTTCATGGGCTTCTTCTTTCCACCCTCCTTCATGAATGTTGGGGTGTCCCAGGGTCCGGCCCACACCTCCATTCTTCTGACATTAGTGGCTACCTTAAGTGGTCTCTCCACGTCTGTCTGCAGACCAGATTCTTTGAACTTGAGACTGATGTATCTAGATACACTCCTAATATTTCTGTGGCACCTTTACTTTTTGTTCCAGGCACTGTGCTAAGTGCTTTGCAGGCCTTATTTTAATTATTTTCCTAGTCCTTTGAGGATGGGATGGCACTGTGGAATCGTGATAGGAGTATGATTTAAGTTTTCTTCCTGTTCTGTTGAGATAGTGGAGGTTCAGAGAGGTTAAAATAACTTGTCACAGTTATGAAGGAGCCAAAATTCAAGCTTGGTCCATCCCCAAATTTTAGATAGCTTGGAGGTAGTTGGATAGAAGTTGTGGGATCAAAATGGATGATTGAAAGCAGAAGAGCTTCTCCAAGGGCCCAGAAAAAGAAAACAGGAAGACTAAGCTCTGACTGCAGGGTGGTGGGTACAAGAATGGGCAGAGAAGAGGCAGCCATGCTCAGGCCATCCCTTCATGCGGATTGGAGAATTCAGCGTTGGTGTTCACCTTCCCTTGAATGGAGGTGTCATCCGTTAGGAGTGAATGCTGTGTCTTATTTTGCTGCCATCCTGGTTATCTTGGTATGGTTAGCCAGGATCTGCATTTACTCCCTTTCATTTTCTGGGCAGCTTTTGGAGGCATTTGTGCTGGCTTCTATTCTGTGCCTTCCTCTCCTGCCGCACCCCTACTCCCTGGCTCTTCTCTTCCGGCTCCCCTGCCTCCCGCATGACACGAATATGCACCATGGTCATGCCTGCAGTGTGGTGTGGGTAGCACCCGGCAGCTTTCCTCATCATTGTAGGTTCTTGGCTTCACCAGGCGTCTGGCTTTTCCCTTGTAGGGCATGGAGCACCCCGTGACCACCGTCTGCAGCAGCGATTTGGAGAAGGCCTACCTGGCATACTGTGCACCTGGGTCTGATGCCCAGGCAGCCATTCTGAAGTTCCAGGCTGGAAAGCACAACTATGAGTTAGATTTCAAAGGTACTTCCTGACCCGCTGCCCCCACCCAGCAGGGCTTGGCCATCTTTTGGCTCTGCCTTCTCCACCTGCACCCTGGAAAAGGTCCATGTGCACACTGAGGGGCAGGAGAGAAAAGGAAAGGGTGGTAAGGGTGGTCCCTGCTCCAGAAGTGCTGCACATCTGGAATGGGAGACAGATCTGTAAACAGATGATGCCAACCCAGTGGGATGGAAGAGAAGTTGCCTGGGGAGGGGGTGGTGAGAGAGGACCCCGAGATGGAGACAGGGGCCCGAAGTGTGGAGGGATGGGGGTGGTCTGCATGCGTGCCGTGGTGGTGGGCCTGTAGGCCATGGACGACGAGTCCCTCTGGTCTAAGGGTTAACTTGAGTCCCTGATTCCTGTCATAGCAGTTCTGCTGTGTCCTCCCTCGAATGGCAGCTCCATGTCGTTGTCTCCGTAGGCACCTGTGGCTTAGGTGGGCTGCAGATTAAACACATGCTAGATGCACACTTTCATTAAAAGTTGCTGGGAAGCAGATTATCCTGTGCTCCAGATGTTCTGACACTGGGCTTTAAGTGACTTGTCCTGGTTGCCTTTGCAGACAGACAGAAACAGGCCAGATACTCTTTGGCCAGTTCATGTAGTGACTGATTTTGGAGAATTCCTTTGTTTAAATTTTAGTTTTTTTCTGTAGCTTCTCTGAAGACGTTTTCTCTTGGATTTATTAGTCCAGCTGTGTTTAACTCAGTTTTGCCTTACATTTGTTTATTTTTTATTTATTTTTTAAATGTTTTATTATTTATTTTTGAGAGAGAAACAGAGTGCGAGTGGGGGAGGGGCAGACAGAGAGGGAGACACAGACTCCAAAGCAGGCTCAGGCTCTGAGCTGTCAGCACAGAGCCCGATGCGGGGCTCGAACCCACAAACTGTGAGATCTTGACCTGAGCCGCAGTCAGATGCTTAACTGACTGAGCCACTCAAGTGCCCCAACATTTGTTTTTTTTTAATGTTTATTTTTGAGAGGGAGAGAGTGCAAGCTGGGGAGAGGCGGAGAGAGAGGACAGAATCTGAGGCAGGCTCTGCACTGTCAGCAGGGAGCCTGACATGGGGCTCCAGCCCACAGACCGCGAGATCATGCCCTGTGCTTAACTGACTGAGACACCCAGGCACCCCTTGCATTACTCACATTTTAAGCTCTGAATCCTTCTGAATGTTCAGTCCTTTTAAGGGGAATAACTGGGCCTTCATTTAAATATGGTTTACTGTTTTCTCTATTTTTATGGACCTTCTTCTGGATAAAGGGCAGCAAAGTGTGTCTGGTGAATTATCCTAAAATCACTTTACCTGCCTGCTGTTAGCCAGTTGTTTTTCTTGTGGTTGTGGGGCTTATCCTCTTGCTTAAGGTAGAATCGCTGCCCCCTCGACTTGCCCTTACAGAGAGCTTAAAAGTTTCTTCTGCTCTGCGATGAGAACTGCTTACCAGCCTTCAGTCTCTGCTGGAGAACACCAGCCGTACATCAGGTGGTTTGCAGTCCACGGTCTGATAGGTACAAATACACTAAAGGGGACAGCGAGCTCCATGAGGATCAGATCTATATGGCTAGCACCCATCTGACTGCTGCTGGCAACTGTTCTTAAGTATCTGGAAAATATCAAAACCAGAAATGTCAGATGCAACCTTGATCATTCTCACCCTGGGCCACAGCCCCAGAGGACGTAACAGAAAATCAGGGTAAGGGTGGGAAAGAGCACACGAATGCAGTTTTCTGCAAACTGCAGGAAGAAGCGAGTTCACCCCAGACTGACCCAGGCTCATGTGAGTAAGGAGAATTACTTTTGTTGATGGTGGAGAACAGCAGCCACAGAAGTAGTTTGAGATGAGTTAGCTTCCCGTCTCACTGCCTCACTGAGAGGTGTAGTGAAAGCAAGTCTCGGACCCAAATCTGCCAGACACATTTATGAACTAAGTATTATTAGGAAACAAGTACATTTAAGAAACACACACAATAGGTGAAATGATTTGTACTGTAGGATTGAGGGAGGAGGAGGAAGCCTTAGGGAGGTGGTGGGGGAAGACTCAGTATTGTCATTTTAGGGACTCTTGTTATAAGTGCTGCTCAAGGCCACTGCCAGGGCCAAGATTCCAGAGGCAGAATTCTGACAACTGTTAGCTGGCAACAGATGGGTAGAATCCCAAAGGTCAGGCTTGTGTAGGGACTCAGCCTATGTATCCCTGGTAACGTAAGTTAGAGAAAATGTCTTATTTTTCCCTGTCCACGGGAGGGTTGGGAGTGGGTCTGACATATATTTAGCCAGTCCGCATATCTTGAATCATTTCACTAGTGAAAGCCCATTTCAGATTTATCATGATGTCAGTCAACAGGCCAATAAAAACCCATGTAAGTGTGCTAATTATTGATGGGGAGTTGAGTGGTGGACAACAATGGGGGCAGTGGTAGCCATGTCTGGATTATGGGTTCTTGATTAGAATGTGGGGGACCCCCAAGGAGTGCCTGCTCTTGACGACCTCCTGGGCTACAGCATGAGGGACACACATCTAGGTGATAACGCAGCATAGGTTCAAATGCTGTAATGTAAGTTACAGACATCTACAAGTTAGTATTAAGTGTTTTTTAAATGAAAAAAAGTTGTTTTTGTACTCCAGGTTCAGAAAGTAAGACTTGACAGGGTTTTCCTGGTGGGTAAGGACATGGAATCTAGCTCATAGGCATTTGTGATTTTTCAACTTGAGGGTCAGTGTCGTCCTCCCCCACCCCCGTCCGCCGCCAACCCTCAGGATTACCCTGAGGGTTTTGGGGTGGGCATGGGGCAAGAATTTTGTTTATTAAAGATGGTACAGGTTTAAAAGGTTTAATACTGCTATGGAATCAGTTTAGTCAAATTAAGAAAAAAAGTCATAAGAGTAAAATTATTATATTAACTAAGTCCCACTGGCTTAAGATGTAGTAATTTAGTCTCAGGCTGGGCTGAAGCTTTTTTATATCCAAGCTGGGAAAAACTGCTAAGCAAAATAATAGTTTAAACAAGATTGGAAGGAACAATTTAAAAGTAGTCTTGTATAATTGTTATGTCAATTACTCATCATTCATGTGTTCATTAAACCCAGTCTCCTAAGGATACCTATTTTCTTTATGGATATTTGAAATGTGAAAATTGCTTTATTTCTTAGCAGACTGATCCTATACTACACATTTGGATTAGTTTTCCAGCCCATTTAGTTGTGTTTATAAAACCTTGCTGTCCTGTGTGCGTATATACATTTGGTGTTTTTTTTTTTTTCAGCCTTTGTTCAGAAAAACCTGGTCTATGGCACGGTCAGAAGGGTTTGCCGGAGACCCAAATACGTGTCTCCCCAGGAGGTGAAGGTGAAGCAAACCTGGTAGGTGGCATGTGTGTCAGTTGGGGTACGCTGTGCTGCGTGTACAGAAAACCTACTCAGACCAGCCAGCGCAGTGAGAGGGTTGTTGGCTTCCATAACCGAAAGCGCCCACACTCCCGTCTCTGCCTAGCTCTCCTCCAAGTACCTTTTTTCTTAAAAAAAAAATTTTTTTAATGTTTGTTTATTTTGAGACCGAGAGAGACAGAGCATGAATGGGGGTGGGTCAGAGAGAGGGAGACAGAATCTGAAACAGGCTCCAGGCTCTGAGCTGTCAGCACAGAGCCCGACACAGGACTAGAACTCCTGGACCGTGAGATCATGACCTGAGCCGAAGTCGGATGCTTAACCGACTGAGCCACCCAGGCGCCCCTCCTCCACGTGCCTTTGTACTTTCCTTCACTGAATGCCAGAGTGCTGGTATTAATATCAGTGTTCTATAAAAGGTCTGAGAGTTCATGAATCTGAAAAATCAGGGTACACCTAGCACATTTCAGATAGAGAAATATTAGCATGTATTACAAGAGTATAAAATATAATGCAGGTTTATAGAGAGGTGAACGTTAGAGTATTATACTAATTACCAGATTAACTTTTATTTATTTTTAATGTTTATTTTTGAGAGAGCGAGAGAGCATGAGCAGGGGAGGGGCAGAGAGAGAAGGAGACCCAGAATCCGAGGCAGGCTTCAGGCTCTGAGTCGTCAGCACAGAGCCTGATGCAGGGCTCAAACTCACAAAACAGTGAGATCACGACCTGAGCTGAAATCAACGCTTAACCAACTGAGCCACCCAGATCAGTTAATTTTTAATAAAGCATTAAAGTGACAAAGCAAACACAACATATGTTTTAAGTGTGCCAGTAATGTTACTGAGTCATAAAGGTACTCTTGTGCAGATTTTTCCAGAAACCAAAAAAGTTCTTGATTTTAGACTGATTTGAGAGAATGGTTAAGAAATAGTAATAATATCACTCCTAATATTTTCTCTCTGTTTCTATCTTCATGTAACTTTCTTTTGTTATAACTTGGAAGGGATCTTTTCAGTAGCTCTTTGGGTTTTTTGTCTTTAGTCCCAGAGTTTTTTTTATTGATAGTGAGCTATGGTTTTTGCTTGTGATAAAAGCACATTGCTCTTTGTTCTCCATTTGCATCATGAATGAATGGCAGTTCTGATGCCAAGTCACCTGTAGCAATTTGACTCCTGGCATCCATATTCCACTACTTGGGAAATGTTTTGAACCAGAGAATTATCTTTGTAGGTAGGAGATTGGTGGTACACAATTATAAGGCTGTTAGTTGTGATCAGTCTAGACTCGAACCTGGCTCATCAGGTTTTATTTTCAGTTGACTAGTTGAATTCTAAACTTGAGTATTTTAAAATGTTAAAGTAATAGAAAACTAATGGAATTAGATCACTAAAAATCAATGTATTTCAGGACTTGAATCTCATGGGATACCAAAAAACCAAAAACGGATCCTGAAGGCACTAACAGGCCAGCTTCATCCTCAGAGTGGGTTCCCTTACAGCTGCCAGAAGCCATTAGGGTAGCGCCCTGCCTTGTAAGCATTTCAGAGCAGGAGAAGGCCCTTCTGCGGCTGATGGGGGTATATTTATGAGCTTTGCTCTGATCAGACTTCCTCTGAACCACTAGTTTTAGGCTTGGTGCAGATGTGCCAGGATTGGAGCTGGGGAAGGGGTCCTTTCTCTCCGATCCACGCAGCCACATGATGGGGGAGAGGAGCCTGGCTGGCAAGAGATACTATAGTACCAGTTACATTCGGGTGTGTCACGGCTTAAGCTGAGACTTCAGCCAGTGTTGTTAGCCGTTTCATGGAGAACTGGTAGTTTCTCTGTTGGCTCTTCTAGGTCTCACAGATGGACTTCAGTGGTTGTATTTGTGGAGCATGGTCATTTAGAGGAGAGTTTGGTACAGGATAGAGGGGAAAGGTATTAGTAGTTCAAGCAAAAGGTACACTCAGTGGTCCGTATCCTGCCTGCTGTTATCTCCAGTGTTTCCGTAATGAGGACCTGTTTGTATAAGTTTTTGGTTTATCTTTATTATCTTTTTTTTTTTTTTTTTTTGCAAAAATAAACAAATGCATATACAGTATTTTCTGGTTTTTCTTGTGCTAAGGGTAACATTCTAAATGTATTGTTTGTTCTGTACCTTTTCTTTTCCACTTAAAAATAATTATTTCCTTTCTTTTTTTTTTTTTTAATTTTTTTTTTAATTTTTTTTTTTTAATTTATATATGAAATTTATTGTCAAATTGGTTTCCATACAACACCCAGTGCTCATCCCAAAAGGTGCCCTCCTCAATACCCATCACCCACCCTCCCCTCCCTCCCACCCCCCATCAACCCTCAGTTTGCTCTCAGTTCTCAACAGTCTCTTATGCTTTGGCTCTCTCCCACTCTAACCTCTTTTTTTTTTTTTTTTTTTTCCTTCCCCTCCCCCATGGGTTCCTGTTAAGAGTCTCAGGATCCACATAAGAGTGAAACCATATGGTATCTGTCTTTCTCTGTATGGCTTATTTCACTTAGCATCACACTCTCCAGTTCCATCCACGTTGCTACAAAAGGCCATATTTCATTTTTTCTCATTGCCACGTAGTATTCCATAGTGTATATAAACCACAATTTCTTTATCCATTCATCAGTTGATGGACATTTAGGGACACAGGAGTACTGATGCATAGGGGCACTTGTACCCCAATGTTCATAATTATTTCCTTTCAACGTCAGAAGACGTTAAAGTCTTCTGAAATCTGTTGTTGCCTTCGTGGCTCTCCATCACCTGTATATACCCTTGTTTATTTAATCTGTTCCTTTTAGAGGTTTATTTTGCATTGTTTTAGATTTTTTACTGTCACAAGTGTAACGGCACAATGGATGATCTGGTGTATGTGCTGTTTCATATTCATGGAGGTTAAAGCCCTAGAAGGTAAATGCAGGTTTCTCTTGATGGGGTTGGACCATTATGCACTTGCCCCAGGATGCTTGAGGTGCCTGTTTGCCTCACATCAAGCTCTTGGACTTTTGCTGTTCTCGTGGGTGGCAAAGGGTATATCAGTGTATTTTAATTTGCTTTCTCTTACGAGTGAGGTTTAATATTTTTTCCTAACCTGTAACAGCCATTTGCCTTTTTCTGTGGATGGTTTGTCTTTTTGTCCAATTTTCTGTCAGACTTTTGGTATATTTCGTAAATATTAAGAGCCTTTTATCTTTTGGAGAGCTCACTCGGTTTCTTCTTTTAAATTTTTAAAAATATTTATATTTGAGAGAGGGAGAGAATATGAGTCAGGGAGGGGCGGAAAGATAGAGACAGAATCCAAAGCAGGCTTCAGGCTCCGAGCTTTGAGCTGTCAGCACAGAGCCTGATGCGGGACTCAAAAACTCAGGAGCAGTGAGATACGACATGAGCTGAAGTCAGACGCCTACCTGACTGGGCCACCCAGGTGCCCCATCACTCAGTTTCTTATACAAATTGCAAACCTTTTTTCTTGGTTTGTTATTTGCCAGCTTTGTTTATGAAATATTTTACCATGCAGAAATGTTTATTTTTTATTTTTTAGTGAAATTTACCAATGTCTTCTGTGTATTGCTTCTGGATTTAGAGTTCAGTTAACTGTGGCTGCTTCTACTTCTGAAAGTTTATTTTTGATTCTTTCCCTATCCAGAGACTACCTTAGATACGGTTTGGAAAAAATCTGTCTCCTTTCTGAGACTGGATGTCTTTTATTGTCACTGTAATGTTGTTTTCATGGGGCCACAAACACACCACACATCAGAAATAATAGTGATCATTTTGGTTAAATTCAAACTGAGATGTGACTCGATTTAGGATCTCTCTGCTGCATAAGCTAAGAGTCAGTGTCCATGCAGTGAAGTTTGTGGCTCTTCCTGCTAACCCATGTGACAGTAGCCAGATGTTGTAACTCTAGAAAGCAAGTCTGCTTGGGCCTCTGTGGCAGATTGGGACTATTAGAGTAGGTCGCTTTCAGAAACAACTTCTTGGGGCACCTGGGTGGCTCAGTCAGTTAAGCGTTTGACTCTTGATTTCAGCTCAGGTCATGATCTCACAGTTCATGAGTTTGAGCTTTGCATCGGGTGCTATGCTCATAGCGTGGAGCCTGCTTGGGATTCTCTTTCTGTCTTTCTCTGCTCCTCCCCCTCTTGATCATGCATGCTCAGAGATCTCTCAATCTCAAAATAAATAAATAAAAAGAGATACAACTTCTCTGTTTATGTGAATGACAGGGTCACAGAATATGATCTCCACATTCCACAGTTATAATACAACAGTTTAACGTAAAGTTCGAAATGGCATTTATACATCAGCTATCTGGTTTAGTTCCTTACTGTCCTTATATCCTCCATAAAAATGTTTTATTCATGTGATTGGGTCTTATTTTATCTTTTCTTGCCTCCTTGTGGATATTTTTTGTCATTTTGTTTTTTTCCCCTTCTAGTTTGGAAGAGTTATACATTGTATAACTATTTTTTTTGGCCACCTTAGAAATTATAATAAGTGTTCTTAGGTATGAGTCAAGTCTGTATCTTTGTGCTTGTATTAACTAATATAAGGGCTTTCATATACCTGATTCCATTATCTTCCTCTGTTTTTTAACTTTGAGGTACTGTTATTTTCTAGTATGAATGTTTCATTAGATTTACTCACATTTTACCACTTTGTAATTTCAAATTGTCTTAGATGAGTCTGTTGGAAAATTCTGTGTTTTTGTTTGCCTGAGTACATCTTTATTTTGCCCTCAATCTTCAAAGATAGTTTCACTGGCTGTAGAATTTTGGGGTGTGGTCATTTTCTCCTGGAATGCCGAAGAGGTCACTCCACTGTCCTCTGGTTTCCATTGCTGTCTTTGTGAAATCAGCAGTTGGTCTAACTGGAGTTTCTTTCCCAGAATCCCTCGTTTTCCTCTGCTTTGCAGATTTCGTTGGTCTTGCTGTCGTGCACTGTCACCTTGGTGAGGCTGGGCATGTGCTTTTATTACCCTGTTGGAGATTCTTGGGGCTTCTTAGACCTATGTGTCAGCGAGTCTCCTTTGTTCTCTTTGAGATTGCCTCCATCCTTTCCTGTCTCCTCTCTTTTTCGAGGTTCGGTTAGGTTCCAACCAGATTCTGGCCTTCTCTCTCTCTCCCTCTTCTCTGGTCCCAGCTTCTTCCCCACATCTTCCACCTCCTCGTTGTGGGGCCACATTCTGAATTACCACTTAGCATCTCATTCAGCTCACTCTTTTCTTCCCTTCTCAGGTGGTCTCCCCTGCTCATAAGCCTGTCCTTCAGACTTCTAGCAAGGAGTGTATCTTTCGTATTTAAAAGTTCCTCCTAATTCTTTTTTAAATCTTCATCCTTTTATAGTTTAGCTCCTTACATAGGTTTTTAAAGTTTGTCTTTTATTTCTTTAAACATAGAAAGAATAATTGTTTTATAATCTGCCTCCTGATTTCAGCATCTTTGGTCTTCATGGTCTGTTTCTGGCTGATTCTTGCTCATGGGACCTTGGTTAGTTATTTTTAAACTGTGCTGTTTTCCTAGGAAAGTTATTTGTGGGAGTTCCTTGAGGCTTAGGATGAAGGTACATGTCTTATGCCAGTGGAAACAGAAGGATTATCTTTTGTAGGAAGAACAGACCATTCTGAAAAGGAGTCAGAAAAATTTGGAATTATAGCTTCACAGTCCCTGTTCCTAGACCCTTTGTGTGATGTGTCTTTTTTTTTTTTTTTAAGTTTTTTGTGGGGTGGGGGGAGCCATGTGTCTTTTAGAACTCCATCTTTCTTTGTCTTTTTTGGAAGATCCTATGGTGCTGGTGTTATGTGAGACCTGTAATTAAACTTGCTAATATTGCAGCAGTAAAAATTAAGCATAGTTGGGGCACCTGGGTGACTCATTCAGTTAAGTGTCTGACTCTTGATAGCTGCTCAGGTCATGATCTCATGGTTTGTGGGATCGATCCTCAAGTCGGGCTCTGCACTGTGACAACATGGAACCTGCTTGGGATTTTCTCTCTCCCTCTCTCTCTGCCCTCCCCTACTTGTGTGCTGTCTTTCTCTTTCTCTCTCAAGAAAACATTAAAAAAAAAAAAAGCATAGTCAATTTAAGTAGGGTATATACAGACCATAAGTAGCCTCTTAGCAGTTTCAACCAAATTTCTACTGCCAAATTGGTTTTGACATAGATTTTATGTTTTTAAAAATGTTTTTGTATGCCAGTTACACCTAATTGAGGCTGCTTGGAAAAAGTTGCAGAGCTCTTTGAATGTTAAAATGATGAGAGTTTAGGCTGCTCTAATCAGTTATTCTCTGCCTTTCATACAAGAGTTGGGATACAGGTGAGAAATGGATCCCTTGTGCCTTATCATTTGCGTTTTGGCCACATGGGCAAAGTAGAGTGCTCCCACATGGTGGATAGTGTGTGTTTAGGTGCTTCCTTACCTTCTACCTGCTTTCACAAAATGATATTTGTTTACATTTTGTAGCAGTGTCAAGTTTCAAGGCCCAAAGAGCATCCCAGACCATTGGGACCCCTCGGCCCTGCCAGACCCTGGCTTCAAGGTATGGGACTTGCACTTTTTTGGTCCGTGGAGGAGGGCGTTCTGTGACCTAGTGAGTGAACTGACTCCACCACTGAGGAAGCTATGAGGCCAGGCCGGGGCAGGAAGGGAGAGTTCTGTCGGGTTTTGTTATTTTCAGGTATAGGGGATTTTAAGCCTGGATGACCACCAAGAAGGTGGTTGTGGCCCCGAGGGGAGAGGATGTATTGTGGATGGAGCATGATGACTTAGAAATTTCTGGGAAGGGCAGAAATAAGGGGCTTAATGGCTGCTCGGCCAATACGTATTAGTTTTACAAAGCAAGAAAACAAAACCAGGGGAGGACTTAAGTATGATGAGGGACGCGGAGAGGGGGAGTTGCTGTTGAAAGGTGCCGGATGTTCGAAGACCAGGAATAGCGACTCACCTGGCTCATGTAGTGCCTGCCAGCGAATAGGAGCTACACTGAGTTCTGTGGAGTGCTCATGCCATCGTCCAACTGCCTTGTGTACGTGTGGCCCTCAGACTGCCCTCTGCTGCTGGCTTCCTGCAGAGCACTGCAGACCAGCTCTCTGCCCTGAGAGGACTCCTCTTGAGTTGGACAGAGCACAGAGACCCCAGCAGCGCGCGCGCACACACACACACACACACACACACACACACACACACACACACACGTGTAAAGGGCTGGGCGAGTTTGAACAGCAGCACTCAGCACCGCAGGACGAGGTGTCTGTACCGAGGGGAGCAGGGAAGATGTCACTGGGTCCACACCTAAATGATGGCTGGTGCTTGTACAGGCAGAGGTAGGGGCAGAGCGTACAGGTTGATGGAAACTTCTTAGGGAGAGAGCCTGGGTCAGGATAGAGGGCGTGTGTAGGTGTTGGGAAGCAGGAGCGACATCTGGGCCGTGCTGTGGAGTGCTTGGTTGTGGGGCTGAGTTGCAGGCTGTGACAGGTATGGGAGCCCTTGACGGTCTGGTCTGGAAGGGGCAGGCTGGTTCCACACTCAGGGGAGAGGAGTTTGGTGTCCTCCCTGGGGTGCGACCAGGGAAACCAGAATCAGAATTTCTGTTGTAGGAGCCCATGGACATTCAGACGGCACTCAGGGTAAGGGTAGGGCATGCTACAGAGGGATTTCTCACAGGTCCCCAAATGGGCTATCACTGGGCCGTCACTGGGCCAAGCCTCGCAGAGCCAGGCTGGTTAGGTGCAGGCTTCAGGTGTGGGAATTTGTGGATGGTCGCTGTGTAAGTGTCAGCTGCCCTTGGTTAGGAATCTCCTGGCCCATAGGGAGTACTGTTCCTCAGAGCAAGACACTAGGGGAGAGGTGGACTCAGCTGGGAGGACGCAGCAGCCAGGCACCATCCCTGCAAGTCTCACTGTGCTCCTGAGTTGATGTGCGTCTGTCTGCCAGCCTGAGAGCTCCTGATGCGTTGCTGCCCATAAGCCTGAACCTGCTTTAACAGGGTTGGCCCCCCTCTCTCCCAGATGTGTGCACTCCACATTTTTGATACCAGTTCTGGTCTTGGAGGCTATATAGTCTGCCCTGTGTGGGTACAGAGGAGGAAAAGGGATGTCCTGGGGACACCAGGGTGGTGCTGACGTAAGCATCACCTGCCTGTCCTTCAGGAGGGTTTCACAGTGGACAAAAGAGAAGTGACCACAACTTGCATACATCTCACGCCTGGAGACACTACACCTCTTGGCAAAGGGAGGGTGGTGATCACTATCTGGGCTTGTTGGCAGTTCTGGTGTTTTATGAGCAACCTTGAGAAGGGATTGATGTATATCCTCTGCTTTGATGATAACAGAGAAAAAAATATTTGCTCCCTGCAGAAGATTGCCCTCAGTTCTGCATCGGATGAGTATCAGAAGGTCTGGAACCTCTTTAACCGCACACTGCCTTTCTACTTTGTTCAGAAGATCGAGCGAGTCCAAAATCTGGCCCTCTGGGAAGTCTACCAGTGGTGCGTTGGGGGCTCACTCTTGGTGGGCTGGTGACCGTCCCCTCTGATACATACACAGTAGCTAGCTGCTTGCCAAACATGTCCTAGGTTTTGGGGACAATCTGAGATGGCAGCCAGAGCTGTGTCCCCACTTTCCTCCCCGTCACACTATCCTTATAGCTCAGTGCTGGCACATCCCTCAATGCCGAGGGGACTGAAGCTGCCCTAGTGACAAGGCCAGTGCTTGCCTCTCTGCCTGAAGGTCAGCAGGACTGGTCAGTGGAAGCCACCCACACCTTGAGGAGTTAGAGAGATGCTGTCCTGACAGCCACACAATGGGGGTCTCATCTTTGTGCCCGAGGACTAGCATGTTCTTGGGCACCTAGGGACTTGGCTTTGTTGAGAGGAGATCTGCGGCAGGTCACTGTGGCAGGCCTGGGATCCTGCTGACCTGTCCCCAGAAAGGGGGTTGGAGCAGTGTCCTCTGTATTTGGGGCCCAGTGATGAAATCAGGGTAGCACACAGAGGGGGAATGGGGTGGCCCCCACTGACCAGCATCTTCCAGTTCCCCCAGCTGAGCTCCATGCAGAAGCAAGGTGCTGAAGAAGAAGTAGGTCTGCTTTCCAAGGACTGGTCTGCTTTGGGAGTTCAAGAAGCCGCTGGAGGCCTTTTCACTCCAGTCCCGCTGTTCACCTTCTTTCCCTGGTCCATGGCTGGTTTCACGGGCCTGGACTCCTGCTGATTATAATAAAATGTGTCTTCTTGGGTCGAGTGGCCTGTATTTGGCAACAAGCACCCTCTGCCTCCAACATACATTCCTCTCCCGTAATTGTAGGCAAAAAGGGCAGATGCAGAAGAGAAATGGAGGGAAGGTGGTAGATGAGAGGCAGCTGTTCCATGGCACCAGTGCCAGTTTCGTTGATGCCATCTGCCAGCAGAACTTTGACTGGAGGGTCTGTGGTCTTCATGGTACTTCTTACGGCAAAGGTAAGGGCGAAGGTGGCCCCACTGGCAGAACCTGGCTTTACCTCCCCCCCCCACCCCTGGGGCCCGGGGGCCATTTTAAAGCAAATTGATGGAGGGCATGGGAGAGCCAGGGTGAGTTGATGAGCTGGATCAAACTCAGTGAGGAATGGACCCAGCTGGTGGCACCCTTGTTCTTACTGTGTGCAGTCAGGAGCCTGACCCTAGGTTTGAGCAGCTGGGGTTTTGTGTCCCTGTGGAATGGAGGCTCTGGAAACGGTGAGTAAGAGTGGGGTGAGGAGAGCAGGTACCTTCCCAGCCCTGAGTCCGGCCCCAGACCATGCCCCCCAGTCGTTAGAATGGGAATCGGAACAGTTTGGATACGCTTGTGTGCGTGTCATGCCAGCTGTAACGGGAGTTCTTTGTTTTCTGGGTTATTTTAAAACTTTATTTGGAAATAATTTCGAAACTCACAGGGAAGTCTCAAGAATAATATTTTTATTTTTTATTTTTATTAAAATTTTTTGAATTTATTTTTGAGAGAAAGAGACAAAGCATGAGTTGGGGAGGGGTGGAGAGAGAGGGAGACACAGACAGAATCTGAAGCAGGCTCCAGGCTCTGAGCTGTCACCACAGAGCCCCATTTGGGGCTTGAACTCGTGAACTGTGAGATCAAGACCTGAGCTGAAGTTGGACATTCAACCGACTAGCCACACAGGTGCTCCAAGAATAATATTTTTAAAACTCCAGCATAAGTTCTACCTAGATTAATCAGCTTTAATACTTTGCCACGGTGGCTTTATCCTGACCCATGTGCAAGTAGGTGGCATATATGGTGCCATCTTTAACGTGACCACAACATGGCTGCTAGATTGAAGCATCTCCACAGTGTGATGCTGTAGTGAACAGCCCCTCTTCTGACCCCATCGCTTGTCCATCAGCCGTTCTTGGAGGTGGCAGCAGCTGTGGAGTCGGGATAGAGAAAGCCAGTGGCAGATGTATTTCCGATTGTGTGTGTGGTGGCCTCCAGTGCAGGCTCCTGTTTGACAGCTTCATAATTGTCTGCGTGGGACTCCTGGCATCCAGTGTCCCGTGCGGGGTCTTGTTCCCTTTCCACACCAACCCTGTGAGGCTGGTGTGACAGGCCCAGTTGAGAGCTGAGGAAGCTGAGATCTGGGGGTTAAGTAGTAGTTTGCCCAGGGACCTTTCAGATTTGAGGGACAGAGTCGGAATCTGATCTTTCTGTCTCCCAAGTTTGGAGACTCCTCTGTTGGCCTTCATGAGGGAGGACAGGAGGCAGGGGCATGTGGTGACCAAAGGACAGAGGCCATCGGCACTGCCTGGTTGACAGGACACCCCAGCCTCCCCTTCCAGGCTGTGGGCTGTGCCCCGATACCAGCTGAGCCCGCCTGTGTCCTTGCAGGGAGCTACTTTGCCCGCGACGCCGCATATTCCCACCACTACAGCAAATCTGACACCAAGTCCCACACGATGTTCCTGGCCCGGGTGCTGGTCGGGGAGTTCGTCCGAGGCAGCCCCTCCTTCGTCCGCCCCCCGGCCAAGGAAGGCCACGGCAACGTCTTCTATGACAGCTGCGTGAACAGCATGTCCGACCCCTCCATCTTCGTGATCTTCGAGAAGCACCAGATCTACCCTGAGTACATCATCCAGTACACCAGCTCCACCAAGCCCGTGGCGGGGGTCTCCACCCTCTTCTCCTTAGCATCTTTCTTTGGCGGCCGGCAGTGAGCATGCGGTGATGCTTTTAGTGCCTTTCAGGCTTCTTGTCCTTGGAGTAGCTGTTTGGGAAAGTTTTCTTCTTTTTTTCTTTTAACAGAAAACTTTTTAATGAACTGTTCATTTAACATTGACTTCCTGATGAAGTTACATTCTTAATCTCTCACTGATGATAGTTTTTAGTTTTAAGCCACTTTTGGGCTCATTAGTAAATTAACCAGAAGTGACTGTAGGTGACTGTATTACTTTTTAGTAGTGTGTTAAAATTTTATTATTTACACTCTGTTGACTTGGCAGCTGATGGGCACCAGGCACAGAGTTTCTAGATACTATTTTATGGATTGATTTTAGATTTAAGTTGCTTTCTCTGCAGTGAGTGGTTTGGTTTTTCAGGGTCTCAGTGGCATCTCATTTAATTTTTTGTCAGAATGACACAGTAGCCATCGGTACAGCTGGCAGTCACTGTGTCTGTGGCTCTGGCTCTGATCCAGGCAGCTCTTCTCCTGGGCTTCTGGCCTTGGAATGGCCCGTATATCACAGGGTTAGAGCAAGTGGCTACTGTGTGGTGTCACCGCAGTCCTGTCAGTTGCCCTGTGTCCTGGCAGGGTCAGCATCCCTCAGAGGAAGCGCTTTAATCCTGGCAGGTGACACGGTCCCCCCAAGGGCCCCAGGCTCTGCCCACCAACACCCGTTGCCGCATCTCCTGAGTACACTGGACACCCTCCAGATGTGGGTTTTATGTTCCTGTGAGATTGGAATACCTGTGCTGCAAATGTCACAACAGAGTATGGAAATAAAAAATATTTATCTGAGGTGGGCAACAAGCAAAGCTCATTCTTCAGCGTCTATTATCGAGCACCTGCTGGATACAGGCACTTTTCTGGGTGTCTGGATATAATGGAGCCTCCATTACTGGCCTCGGGGGCTGTGTGTGGACTTACCCATGGGGCTGATGAACTTGAGGGTTCACGGCCCCTCACTTGCTGGGGCTGTCTCCACAACCGTTGCAGGGGTGGGTCCTAACTATGTGGCCACATGGTTATACATCTCAGTTAAATGTGTAAAAATTACATATTTGGATTTTTTTCCTTCTCCAACCCCTATAAATCCCAAGTTCCACAAAACCCAGATTGGCTACTGAGTAGAGTGTGTTGTAGATGTGTGTGTGTGGGGGGGGTGTGCATTCTGTGAGTGTTGTCCACACACAGCAGGTTATGGGAGTCTCTACCGGGTGCTGGCTGGCTCTGCTCTGGGGGAGGAGGGGCTGACAGGGTGGCTCCGTGTTATGAAGTGGCTGTACCTGTTGGTCTCTGGGTTTAGTCCTCAGCAGTGGGCTTCTCACCTCCCCTACACCTTTCCAACCCATCCCCCCATCTTCCTAGTACAGTGTGTCCACCCCATGTGATGTCTTCACTTCTGCTGCTTTGTCCTCACATTCTCAGTGTAGTTCTTTCCCTCTTTGGAGCAGGGTTAGGGAGTGCTCTGGAACTTTACACAGGTCAGCCAATCAAGACCAGTCATAACTGAATTTTATGACCAGAGGAATGAAATAACAGTACTATCTTACCCACCCGCAGGGCTGGTCACCTGGTTGTACATGGTGTGATTTTCAGAGCCCCCAAAATATTTCCCCCATGTCCTGACTAATCGTGAGTTTTATTCATTGCTTTTTGATTAAGTCATGGTCCTACTATAGCAGGTGTGTGTTGGGTGGGGGGTGCAGAAGGGTGTCGGGGAGAACCATTAAATCAGGTGCTTGCCTGCTACATCTTAAATATAAGTGATTCCATGCTCATTAACCACGTGGCTGCTGGGAGCTTAGTAGTGGGTGGCATGGATGGTCTGGGAGTGTGGGTGGGAAGAATGGCTGGAGAACGGTGGGAGGTGATCACACGCTCCAGAATTGGCAAGTGAGCTACGAAGACTCATCAAATCCAGAGGCCCTGGATTTGCTTATCTTTGAGAAAGCAAGCCAGGAAGAACACCTACTTGGATCAGAAATTTGAGAGAAGGATGGGGTCCATCTTGCCAGATTGTTGGGATGGGGTGGGCACTGTGATGGAAAGATGTCAAAATGTCAAAATGACGGTGCAAAAACGTGGTGGGACCCAGGGGGTGGGTGTGTGGGTGTGTGTGTGTGTGTGTGTGTGTGTGTGTGTGTGTGACTGATAGAGGTCATGAGGACACGGTTGGGATACAGCTAAAGGGTTTTGTGGAAGACCCAGGCAGTGCCATCTCCTGCCCCGTTAGCTAGTGTTGCATGTGTGAGCTAGGGATTGTGGGTTGAAACCATGGAAGAGCCGAGTCTAGCAATTCTAGAACATTAGGAAGCTTCCCTGTTCCCCCCCACCCCCGCTGTTTCTAAACATGGTGAGCACCTGGACAGAACAGGTGAGGGAAGCCAATGGAGCTGATGGGCTCTGGTACCAGGCATAGGCTGTGCCCTCAGGAGGAAGCCATGTGCTCAGCTGGGCCCTTCTGCAGGATTGAGGTTACTTGATGGCCATAGGGGGTCAGGGATTGGGAGACGGGCAGGGCAGTCTGGGAAGACAGGTTAGATCCCCAGGAATGGGAATGTGTGGCTTTCTCCAGTGAGTCTGAGCCTCAGGGCCAGACATGTCAGAGAGGCTTGATCCCTGAGAGGAGCAGTGGTGGCAGCAAGGTTGCAGAAAGGGCTGTGTGATGGGCTGGCCAGGCAGCACCCAGGGCTGGGACAGTGGTGGGTGACAAAGCTGCCTTCCTATCTCCGGGGAGGCCAGAAAGTGAGAAGAGGGCTCTCTAGGGAAGGACTTTGGGGGAAAGCTTGGGGTCCTTTTGGCTGGAGCAGGAGAAGACCAAACAGCAGAGGCAGGATCCACAGCCATGGATCCGTGGACACCTGTTGTGCCAGCTCTTCTGAAACAGCGTAAAGGTGGTCAGCCTCTGGGTATCCAGGCTTACAGATTCCGAAGCTCAGAATGTTACCTATGGGGCATTTAGCCCCTTTGTGCTGCGTACATGTTACATAGAGGAGGGAGCTTTGATCTAGGACAGCTCCCTTGTTTTACAGATGAAGACAATGAGGCATAGGAGGGTGGAAAGACCAGCAGTCATGACCACACACTGCTGGTGGCAGATGTGGGATTCACCCTGCAAGATCTCTGTTGAATTTTAACTTCTCAGCAACACGACAGTTTTAATAAATTCACCTCGGTATTGGATTCTTTGATCAAAATGAAAAGTTACGATGCCTTTAGTGCATTTTAGGCTCTATCACTCTTCTGTGCATTAAAACATTATAAAGTTAGTATTAGCTTACCTAGGAAAATCAAAGCAAAAGAAAGCTTTTGAGCCACTTGTCGGAGTTAAGCTTCCGATAAATATAGTTTTTTAAGTGAGACACCATAATGTACCAGAAGTTGGAAAGGCCCACGAGGTGGTGCTGTTAGGGCAGCTCACCAGAGTGTCCCCGTGTCCTCTGCCCTGTAGATTCCTTCCATCCTGAGGCTTAGCACTTCCTTCAAAACCCTGAGTTCTCAGTCACGTTGACAAAACTACATTTTTGCCTATTTATCAGCAATCTCTTATTGAGAGGTGGGTCAGCGGTTCCTACACCATCAGCAAAGTTAAAACTAAGTGCAAGAAACATTTATTAAATGTTCAGGAACATTTGGGAAAAGTTATGTAAAGACCTCTTTTATACTTGCATGGTGGGCACCCTTTCAATTGCTTCAGTGATGTTTTCCCCCAAATCTGAATTTCCACATCAAGGTTTCCTTTGCATTTGGGGGGGGTGTCCTCATAAAACTGTCAGCGAGAGACAATCTTGATATAGACGCCGTTCTTCGGACCTAGGGCAGATTTGGATTCTAGCTGCAGTGGTACCTAAAATAGAGGAGATTAAGATACTTGTTATAGCTAACCACATCTATAGGAAAGCTTTTTGGAACTGGGCCTGAAGTGGGGTTGTGGAAATCTGAGAGATAGCAGGGCTGAGGGAGCAGAGCAGCCTTCCCAGCACGGCCTTGAGAGGCCAGCAAAGCTGCTGCTCAGGGAGGCTGGGCGCTGGGGCCCCACCAGCACATGGGTGCTCGGCCCTTTTGTCCATGTTAAAAAAATACTGTAAGTGAGGAGGGTACTCAGTCCCACACTTATCCTCCCAAGAAGCCTGTGTAAGAGGTACTGGTGGCTCACTTTGCAAATGAAGAAATGGAAGTTCAAAGAGGCCAAGTGACATGTCTAAGGTCACGTGCCTGGCAAGTGAAGAGCAAAGTCTCAAACTGTCCCCTCTCCTACTATTCTCACTCCCTGGGGCCCTGCCAGTAGCCAAGCAGCATCCCCTCTTTTCAAGTGGCTTTGGGAGAGTGGCTTCATACTGTTCCCTTCTCATGAGTGCTGTGGTCTAGCCTCCCTGCCATTCAGAAAGCTTTCCTGATGTCCAGCTTACAAGGCAGATGGGTGGTGGACTGGGGACTTGGAATAAAAGCCAAAGAATTACTCAAGAAGCAGGGTGTCCCCCTGAGCCCCGTGTAAAATGATGGTTCAGTGGCTAATGTGAACACTTTAAAGGAAAGAAGCATCGCTGGGCCTTAGTGCTGGGCCTTGGGTTTTCCAGATGTCTTTGGGAGTTTTAGTTCAGATGGGAGAGAAGTTCTATGACCAAGAAACAAGATGGACTAAACCTGTGCTACCCCACCAGTAGCACATGTGACTGCTGATCATTAGAAATATGGTTAGTGCAAACGAGGGGCTAAATTTTTAATCTGATTATTAAAATTTAAATAGCCAGATGTGGCTAGCTGCTACTGTATTAACACAGGTATAGACAAAGTGGAAACACTACTGGACTTCAAAAAAGGAGGGTGGCTGGGGCTGGCAAATTCAGGGAGAGCTTCCTGGAGGAACGTGCCCTTTAGGTGGGGCTAGGAGTCGGAGAAGCCTTGTGAGCAGCACTTCTCAGGGGCCACTTCAGGATATAGGGGAATACCCAAGGATCTGGAAGATGGGATTAGGCTGGGAACAGAGGAGTGGGAGAGATAGCATTCTAGGTAGGGAAGAGCAGGTAGAACTCTCGGGGTGGGAATTTGGGGCAGGGAATACAAAGTGGGCTCAGACGAGCTCTCCTTAGAGCTGCTAGGCTCAGGGACTCATGGCTGGTTCTTGAGCTGGGGAATGCCAGCCATAAGCAGTGTTTTGGGACAATGGTCTGGCTACTGTGCCGTTTGTCAAGATCAAGGGTAAGTGAGACAAATCCCAAAAGGAAGTCCTGCACACATGGAACTCCTACCTCAGGTAGGGGTCCGCTCTTGTCTCTGTTGGTTTGGCCCTGTGTTCCCAGTTTGCACCTCTCTGTCTAGCCTTGAACCCAGTCTCCCTGTTCGTCAGAGGCAATGAATGCCACTGTTTGAATCTAGAAGTTCTCCATTCATCACTGGGTACTTATTATTTGTTCCCTTATGCACCCCCTGTCCAGCCATGCACAGGGGCTCTGAACAGGCATGGAGGGGCACAGTGTTGTTATGTAGGGAACAGCCAACATGGCAGAGAGGTGGCTCCATGTAGAGGAAGGAGCAAGGCTTGGGGGCGAGCCCAATCTGGTGTGAGCCCCTTTCTTCACTCTCTGGCTAGTCATTCATTTGCTAATATTTGTTCAGTGAAGGTGTGAGTACCTGCCCTGTACCTGCTGCTGGAAGCTCCAGCAATGAATCAGACAGACTTTTGGTTCCTGCCCTCACAGAGCCTGTGGTATATGGTAAACGTAGTATAAGGCCTCAGGCAAGTTACTTAACCTCTCTGAGCTTTATTTTAGCTCCTCATCTGAAGAATGGGGATAACAAAACCT